ACTACTGTACCAACAGCTTCTCGAACTGTAGCAGCCGTTCTTACCGCACTGGATACTTGGGAGTTCAATACCGCCGATGAAGGCGTCAACGCGTGGCGAACGTTTTATAATACCCCCGCGGCGTTCCAAGGAACTCCAGCTCCACTTTGGGGCGAAATTAGCGGACTTGCCGCTGATGAACCCACAGTCGTCGAAGAAACCGTGAAAGCAGAAGTCACCGAGCAGCCGAATCTTCCAGTAGCCGTTGCAGGCCCGTCTGCTCATACATCAACAGAAGCAGCATCAGAGGTTGTAATCGCAACTACAGCAGAACCTTCAAATGTTCAGTTACCGCTTACCCGTTTCGTCGAAGGGGAGATTGACATGTCGCCCGCCCTTTCTCCTTTCATCATTTCTTCGTTTTATACTAACGCCGACTTTTATCTGTGATCATCAGGACACAAAGCCACAGAGGAAATTTGGCATCAGCGGTTAGGGCATCCGTCGCAAGGGATTTTAAATCATTCAATCCGAGCAGCAGTTCTTGATAAAAACAGTCTTCTTTTACCTGACGGCACGGAGATGAAGCCGCAGTCTCGTCCGACGGTTTGCACCATGTGTCCGGTCGCCAATCTTACTCACGATCTGTTTCCGAGTCACTTTCCTGGCTCCACACGTTATAAACTGATGCAGAAAGTCTACAGCGATATTCTTAACTTACCTGAAGCAGGACCTAAAGAGGAGCAGTATGTGATTACCTTCATCGAAGCATCTACTTGCTACGTTTGGACAGCAAACCTTCCTGCTCATTATCTCACTCATTCCGTCTTCGTCGCATGGCTCGCTGTAGCTGAACGAGAGTCTGGCGTAAAACTGCAAGAATTCCAAAGTGATGGCGTAAGGGAATACACGAGCAACACCTTCACAGACTACCTCCAAACCCTCGGCATCAAACGGAAGCAATCACTGCCGCATGCACACCAACAGATGGGGGTAGCAGAACGGATGAATAAGACTCTGCAAGAGAAGATGCGTGCTCGGCTGACGTAGGCAGCTCTTCCTCCTCGCTTTTGGCCGTATGCAATGGAACACGCCGTGCTGTTACACAACCTACTGTCTTCCACATCACTGCCCGAATTTTCTTCTCCGCACCTGCAGTGGACACGAACAGTGGGAAGTACCAAACTTTTACGAGTTTTTTGGTGTGTTGTAGAGTTTCGTCCTCCAACTGCAGCACTCGGCAAATTTTCTGAACGGGCAAAATGGGGGGTACACCTCGGCATCAAAAAAGAGTATCACCCATGGAAGATTTTGGATCTTCGTTCAAACCAAATCGTCCCTTCACGTGATTGTCTTTTCTATGAACGACTCACCTTGCCAGTTTTTCGTGCCCACCAAGCAGCAGCTGCCAACCCCGCCAGGCTGTTCGAAGGCTCGCGTGCATTTGCAACTGACGAAGCCGAAGCTGATGTACAGGACGAAGCCGTATCTGAAGCCTCCCAAGCTGCCGCAACGGATATTCCCGAACCTGTCACGTCGACTGGCATCCCGGAATTTATTCCTCACGCAGATGCTGACCCGGATGACGTTCGCGAAGTTCACCTCAGTTACGAACGCGATCATCAACAGCAGCCGATGCATGTCGTCTCCGACGAAGCAGTTCGTGTTACACCTGACAAAATTGGGGGGAAGAAGGACCAGAATAAAATTTCGCAGGTGCAAACGAAGAACGTCCGCGTTTTACAGAAACCGGCTTACAGATACTTGGATTTGCAGTCGCAGTACAGTACAGTACAACGACAGTAAGATACCTGAACCAAAAACCGTTCGACAAGCTCTTACGAGTCCTCACCGCGAAAAATGGCGCGAAGCCATGGACAGAGAGCTAGCAGCTCTCAAGAGTCGCGGCACATGGGAGTTAATACCGACATCAGAAGTAAAACGAAGAAAGGTACTTACCGGAAAGTGGGTCTTCCGTGTCAAGACTAATGCAGATGGATCGTTTGAGAAATTCAAGGCGTGATGGGTTGTCCGCGGGTTCAAGCAGACTGACGGCATTGACTACGAGCTGACTTTTGCTCCCGTCGGTCGACATACGAGTGTTCGAATTCTGCTTTGTGTCACCGCCTGCTGCAATCTATGACTTCGACAAATCAACGTGTCAAACGCTTTTCTCTACGCACCCGTCGACGCACTCATTCTGGTAGAGTACCCGCATTCGTATACCACTAACCCACCAAGCGCATGCCATCTCAGAAAGTCGCTTTACGGCATTAAACAGGCACCCCGGCTCTGGCGGCAGTATCTTCACTCACAACTTATCACTGCTGGATTTTGACAACTGCCGCATGATCAGGGGATGTATGTTCTAACTGACGGCAGCAACTGTATTTTACTCGTCGCCTACGTCGACGACATTCTTCACGTCAGTACTACTGACTCGCTCGCCGATACTTTCATACTGAAACTACAGAAAAATCTACAGCTTACCGTCTCCGAAACAGTTTCACAGTTTCTCGGTTTAAACATTACCTGCTCACCGACATCTATTCACCTCACCGCTTCGAAGTACGCAGCGACACTCGCTGCCCGCTTCAATCTTACTCCTACTACAGTCTCTACACCGTACCGCTCACTACCGACTGACTACAAACCGAATACTGCACCATTGAGTCTAACCGGTTTACAGGTTTATCAACAGCAGTTAGGCTGTTTACTCTTCGTCGCCGTTACTTGCCGTCCAGATCTAGCCTACGCTGCTAGTCAACTCGCTCAGTTCCTACGCCGTCCCGAAGAAGAGCATCAGCTCGATATATCGACACCTGACGTCGGTTTAGTCTACAACGTCATCGGCTGTAAAACACTATACCTACACGGTTTCGTCAACGACGATCACGCTGCTGACCCTACTAATCGACGATCGCGTACTAGATTCATCTACCGCCTTGAACCTATCGGGCCTAAGTCTTGGAATTCGACGAAGCATGAGCTGATTGCTCTCTCCTCTGCTGAAGCTGAGTTTATCGTTGTCTGCACAGCAACAAGCGAAGGACTTTACCTACAGGAACTATTAGAAGAAGCGAATTTGACGACGAGTACTCAGTTTACTCTGCAGTGTGACAACCAAAGTGCAATTCGCATCACGCACCAGCCTGGCTTTCTTCAACAGGACGAAAAATATTTCACTGCGTTACTTTTTCATCAAGGATGAAGTCGAGAAGGGGAGAATGCGATTGGTCTATTGTTCGACCAACGAAATGGCTGCCGACTTCCTCACGAAGAAGCTGACACGAAAGAAGTTTCGGTACTGTAACAAACTTTGCGGGATCTTCAAGAAGTGACACTATCGAACTTCCAGAAATGAAGGGGAGTGTTATGGTATAATTCATATTTAGCATTTCTGTAAGTCATTTATCGATAGATAGTATCGAATCCTACTGTAGAAGATAAGTCCGTAGGATGACGTCAGAAAATAGCGCTCGTCATAGGACAGTCGTTTCAATCACTCGAACAGTCGCACCTCTTCATTATCATCTAGGGCGCATAGCACGATAGTGACGAACAGGTACATTAGATACTTTCCTACAGCTATAAATCCTTGTTGTGTCTTTTTATTATTAACCTTGAGATTTCAACTTTGAGAACTTGAGACTTGACTTCCACAGAACTATATACTTAGGTTCACTCTTACAAGACTTCCACTGTCTTACTAGTTTACCATTCCAGTAAAGATCCTAGGCTAACACTTGAGGTTTTCCAAGTGTTTGTGTTTGCAGATTCTACACTTGTCTCCTGCAACACCTGTCAAATTATTACATCGACTAGAAAAGTAAAAATACCCTGAGGGGGGAGGGGGGATGTCTGTCTGTACACGAGGACTTAGACAATATTTTGTTGAGGAGAGTGCTACTCTGGCTACTAGGACTTAGCCGATTATTTGTGGGTTGTTGCGGGTGTAGGGGGAATGTCTACCATAGGACTTCACTGAAATTTGTCAGTTTTTTGGGGGTGTGTAGGGGGAATGTCTGTACAATTAGGACTTGGTCAATTTTTGTAGGTTGCTATATGTGTGGGGGAAGTGTTTCTAGACATTGGGGACATCGCCGAAAATTCAGTGCTGTAAGGCACATGGATATCGCACTCAGGGTTCGTACGCGTTGCTCCATGGAAAATCAGTATTGGCATAACGCAATCCCTGAAATCCCAAGTGTTCAGAAACTTACAACCCCGAAGGGGCTAGGGTTAAGAAAAGTCCAACCCTAAAAATTAAGGGTTGGAAAAAAAAAACCCTGTGAAATCAGGGAATCAGGATAAAGTACCCTGATAACGACAGGTCTGGTGTCTAATCGCACTACATCATGGACCCATTCCAATCCAGAAATAAGCTTCTAGGAATGAATGCACCCCAAAGATACCGTAAATGAAAAGCTGGATGTAACGAAAACACACTACGCAGCACAGCTGCTTCTACATCGTTATTACCTAGCACCAGTACAAGCATGACAGTTCGCAATGCAAAGCAAGTACTGAGCGCACCGAATGCCCCTTGTCATCCATCCATGTGAGGCTGCCAAACTTCCAACTTCTGAATGCCTGCTTCACCACAACAGTCACCTTATAACGGAGTTTTTTCCCGGGCGCTATGGTAAACCGAGATGGCAAAACGATCACTTTCACTACCGTGGGGGCACTGATCTTTACCGTATAGGTTGATGTCGTACCTGCAACGTTTGTTACAGTCCATATCGCAGAACCCTTCTTCCACATCTTTGGCAGCGAGATAACAGGCCGATTTAGATTCTTTGCTGGAATGGGCTTTAGTGGCACCTGCCCGAACTCCCCCCGAGCCTTCTTTATGTTCAGCCCGGCATAAAAAATTCGATAGTCCTGCTCCCCGGCATTGTAGGTTAACCCGGGGTCAAGCACCCTAGCGGGAAACACATGCCCCGCTCCGATCTCCCACGGCGTCGTTGTCTTCCCACCATCCCTTCTAATCGGCCTGTTTGTGTTATTCGTGGTGCGCGCTGTGGTCATCATAGCCGACATGACCTGCGACGGCGTCCAATCAGGATGCTGCTGCATGATGAGAGCAGCGATGCCGGCAATATGCGCTGTGGCCATGGAAGTGCCTGAGAGCGTCTGGAACGACCCCGCATCGCCAACGGCCTTCCCGGGAGCAGCGCCAATCAGAGCACCCCCAGGGGCGATGATGTCGGGCTTGAGAATGGCATTGGTAGTTCCACCCGGTGGATGGCATAAGCAGCACCGATATGTGGCCACAGGGCCAGTGGAGGACTCCCAAAAGAGGGTAGGGGCAGTGGTTGCTGCTGGGGAGATGGTGGGGGGGATTCGGGTCCCATTCAAAGAAATGGCGGTGCATGCTGTTTTGAATGGCGAAGATGATGACGGTGTGGCTGTGGGGGCTGTGGTGTTTGCTGGGCATCCTAATGCAGCTGCTGTTGCTGTTGGTCTTGTTGAAGCGAGGAACACACCTCCTCGGAGTATGGTATTGCAGAGTATGGTAAGGAGGGTATAAAAAAGGATGGAGAGGGGATGGGATGCATGATAGCCTATGCCGATACACCATGCCGATAGCCCATGGTGATAGCCCGTGCGGGTATAGCCTATGCTGACAGCCCGTGCGGGTATAGCCCATGCTGATAGCCCATGGGGATAGCCCGTTTTAATAGCCCATGGTGAGAGTTCCTGCTGATAACCCGTGCTGATAGCCCATGCTAATAGCCTTTGCGGATGGCCTGTGGCAGCAATTTCCATCACCTTCTCCCCCCTCAACGTCCCCGGAAGGCCATGTAATAGGGTATGGGAATAAGGGACGGGACAAGAGACAAGCTCACCTTGCCCCCACGGTGATGTAGAATGGTGCATGGAAATTGATTGAATACATCAAGCCCGCCATAAATTTTTCCATTGGCACTCCACTATCGCCTGCTGCGACGGCTACAAAGGTCCTGGCCTGGGAGGAAAGAGTGGAGGGGGGGGGTGGGGGGGAGGAAGAGGGGAAAGAGGAGGTGAAGAGAAGGATGCAGGATGGATGATGGGTGGCCATAATAGCCTGCATAAGCTACAAGCAACCTGGCCTGATAACGGAACGGAGGGAGAGAGGGAGGGAGGGAGGGAGGGAGGGAGGGAGGGAAGTAGGCAGAGGGAGGCCAAGAATTGATACGAGAAATGGCAAAGTAGGAGAGAGGAGGGGATTTGGAGGATAGAGAAGAGGGGAGTGAGAGGAGGATGGAGGGAAGTGTACATTGGTTTACAATTTTGAATGCAAAAAAAGACTACAAAGCTAAACGAGTAAAAGCATAATGAAAGTATGGATATCCGTACGATTACAGTTGCACTTGCAAATGCAGGTCTTGTGATTATTACGAGAACGAGTACGAAACAAATACATATACGTTAAACAAATAGGGTCCTTACAGGAACACGGGTAATGATACAAACAATGTAGGAATATGGATATGCATACGAGTGCACACACAAGCAAAAGAGAGACCACTAAGAAACTATAGAAACAAAAATGCACATACGAATACGAGCAAGAGGACATATACAGATACAAATCACGAATCACGAATGGGCATTCAAATGAGCACTGCTCACCAAGAGTCCTTTCACGGACAGATACGTGTGTGGTGCACAGATGCGTACAATGCAAGTTTAGGAATATGGGCATCGGAAATATCAGAAACAGAATGTATGCGAATGCAAATACGAATTCGATACAACATGCGCAGATAAATACGGAAAAAATACATGAATATAAAAACTACTTTCAGCCAACCGATCAACTTGCACTGCACCCACCGCATTAGCACTGAGGAAAGGAATGTCGCCAAGGTAAGCTCCTCAATAAGTTGTGTCAGAAACAGTGTCCACTAGGGACAAGCTCAGCACATCCACACCGTCCGCCACGGCCTGATCAGCGGCTGCATAGACGTCTGATTCCAAACCCCTGGAGCTTCGCCTGTCGGGACCACTTCGGGACCAAATCGCCTTGTAGATCGCTAGCCGTGCTCCTGGTGCCACGCCACTAGCGCTGCCCGTGTCAGGCACCTGAACGCCGCTGTTCCCTGCTGCAGCTCTGGGGGTGGGGAAGCATGATGCAGGGATGGACGGAGAGTGAGGGGAATGCCCTTGCCCCGTACATGCTGTTCCCCCCTGTCAGCCAACACACCTTGGGGTATACCATGCTCTGCCAGACCATGTCATGCCAATGGCGCTTCAGCCGCTAAAGACATGCATGTTCCTATTGCCTGCGATATTTATGGGGAGAAATGCACGATTCGGCTGGAACCATCCACCATCCACCATGCTTTATGCACCATGCACCATGCACCATGCAGCGTGTACCATCGTCGATGCAATATGCACCGCGCACCATAAAGCAACAGCTGTACACCCACACCGAGAACCACTTGTCATGTCCTGTCACACAGCATGGTTACAGCCAGTTCGAGGAAACGCCAATAAGGGTGCCACTGCTCTTAAACCCCTCGAGCCATTCTTCACGTCCATACACTCACCCCGTGCACCACGTGCCGTGGCCATCGGAGTCCCGGGAAGACAGCCAATCCAAGGTCAGGTTGACCCTGCCGAAACGGTGCTCAAACCCTGCATAGAAGATGCCCCCGCCGATGATCTTGTTGTTGCAGGTGAAGTCGCTTGTGGTGGGGCATGTGCCGGACCAACCGGATGGGAGAGTGCTGCTGTAACCCTGGTTGGGATGGGGATGGGTGGAGGGGTCGCACGGTGGCGGGGTGATGGGGTGGAGGGGTGGTGCGAGTCAGTCAGAGGACAAAATTGTTGCCTTGTGTGGCTCAAGCACCAAGCACTCTCCATTGGAAGACACCCGATCCGATGCACTGGTTGCTGCAGCAGACGAAGTCACTTGTGCTGGGTCAGTGGGTGGGGGTGAGGGGGGATGGGGGGAGGGGGGAAAGAGGCATGGGGGGAGGGCGGGGTCTAGAGGGTCGGGTGGGGGGAATGAGCAAAAGAGAGAAGGCATTGGCGGTTGCGCAGGAGCTGGATAGGGCTGCTGCTGCTGCTGCTGAAGGATAGGGCATGACAATGGGGCTGCTTTCCTACGCACCTGAAGGAGCCACATATGGAGTGGAGAGCTGAAAAAAGATCTGCGGCGGTGGAGCAAAGAGGCACTGTTGAAAGGATAGGAAAGAGGGAGAGTCAAGGGGGAGGTGCAAAGGGAGAGAAAGAAAAGTTGTAGCTAGGGTTACATCAAAGCATGAACCGCTTTTGAGAGAAGGAAAGATGGATAATTGGTGAGAAAGAGGGAGGGATAAAAGGGAGCAAGGATCGGACAAGGGAGGTGGGGGGAGAAAAAAGGAGAAAGGGAGGAAACGATAAGGTAGGCGAGAGAAGCAGAGGGAGCTGCAGAACTTACCGTGTCGTCAAAGGAGGGATGTTCAGGCCACACGCCAGTATCAATGATCCCAATCACCGTGCCGTCGCCAGCGCTACTGGATGTGCTGGCAGCGGTCCAGAGGGTGCTGGGCAGCTCAAGGAAGTTGTACGAGTCGGTGGTGGCGGGGCGAAAGGTGCGGGAGAGGGTGACAGAGGCCACTGATGGGTGGCGCCTCATCCTCTGCACCTGGGCTTGGGTGAGGGTCGCTGAGAAGCCGTTCGTCGTGTGCTTGTAGCTGGACGGGGCGGGGACGTGCAAGGCAAGGGAAGACAAGACAAGGAAAAGCGAAGATGTTATGCATGCACTGGTGCCGGAGGGTGCCTGAGGTGTGCCGTCACCTTGGACCTGGGATGGGGTGAGCAGTGTGGGTAAGCCGCTTGACATCGTTGTGCGCAAAATTGGAAAGGGATTTTTGGCAAAGGGCGGGGCTGTGGGTGGGTGGGGAAGTGACATGCAAGGAGGATGGGAACTAGGAAGTGTAGAGAAAGCGGAAAGGAACGAAAATCGAACACAGCCGGCGTCAACCCATGTGTCATGCAACCACAGCCTGCTGTATCCGCTTCTAAAGCCCTCTCAACGAATGACTCAGTAACTGCAGCTCACCTGTAGACGACCTTCCTGGGGTCCACCCCACTCTCCTACACCACGGCCTGCTGCATGCGCTGCAGCAGCTGCTTGAACGCCCTCATGTCCAAACGCGGCCGGCAAAACACGCGGCCGATCCCCCCCAAACTGTTAGTGTCAGCCGCAGCAGCAGCAACAGAAGCATCAGGTGTGGCACCAACGACATTGCTGCTAGCCGGGGATGAGGAGGAGGAGGAGGAGGAGGAGGAGGAGGAGGAGGAGGAGGAGGAGGAGGAGGAGGAGGAGGAGGAGGAGGAGGAGGAGGAGGAGGAGGAGGAGGAGGAGGAGGAGGAGGAGGAGGAGGAGGAGGGATCTGGGGCTGCTGGGGGATCGTCGGCGGCGTCATCTGACGTGGTGTCGACAGCATCGCCGTTAGGGTCGCTGTCCCAGACGGCCGTTGCCGGGTAGCCAGCCAATCCGCCACGGTACGAAGCGACGGGCGGTGCGGAGCGCAGGCGGACGATGTAGAGTGCAGAGGCATGGGGGAAAGCTGCGATGGCGGGGCGGGGGGGGGGGGGCGCTGTGGTGGGGGGGACAGGGCAAGTGGTGGATGGGAGAGAAGGAAGCAAGCAATAGGAGGGAAGACAACAAAGTGCAACGTGACTACACAAGCCACTAGCTCGTGGTCTGAAAAGAGGTTTGGGGGTAAAGGAAGGTGAGGAAACATCAGCCATATGAAACACCAGGCAGGGTATATTCCTGCATGGGGGGTAAAGGGCCAGGTGAACGGAGTGGATGGTGAAGAAAAGGGAGGGAGATGGTTGGAGGAGGATGAGGCAGGGAAGGAGTACCACCTGTAGAGTATTACTAGTACTAGGTTGGAGGAAGCGGAGGATGGGGTGGGGGAGTGAAAAGAGAAAGGTGTGCGAGGGTGGAAGGAGTGAAATTGCATACCAGGAAAGAGGGAGAACTCTGAAGATGCGATGAAGGATTTACGTCCATTTGGCGCGTGGTGGCTCACCATTGCTGACGCGAAGCAGCGCTGAGGGTAGCAGCGCTGAGGAGCACTGATAGGTGCTGGAAGTGGTTCGCGCTTGCCCCTAGTCAACGCGTGGCAGCATGGCGTAAGCTAGGTGGCAGTATGGCAGCGCTAACAAGTGGCGTAAGCTGAGGACTACATATTGGTGTGCTAGGTGGTGAGGGGCTGCAAGGTTACATGTTGGAAGGAGGAGGTGTTTGGAACACGCGGAGGACTTATGAGCGACGAGCGGAATTTGGTACAGTGACGCGGTGTTCGGAGGAGCAGAAATGCGGTTCGGTTATATTGTGTGAAATGCGGTTCGGATGTGCGCTACGCAATGTCATGTGTCTTAGGAAATGTTCTCATATATATTTGTTTCTTTGTATCTCTTTGTACATAGTGAATCTGAAAATTCTCCCTCACGTCGTGCTGCCCGTTCGCAACCAGAACTTGACTGGTGGTGTTAAGACTACCCTTAGTACTTGCGCAAGTGCTGTCGGGAGTCGGTTTGGAGTATAAGAACGACATGAGAGCAGCGAGAGTGCTGCTGGAAATTCTAACAGCTGGTATCAGAGCTTGGCGAATCCTTGTTGCGCACGGCTAGAGAGAGTTAGAACACCTACGCCATGACGAATGAACGTGGCGAGGTTAGTTCGGGATCGTCCGCTGGTGGAGGCCCGCAACTGCAAGCTCTCCTAGAAGCGTTAGCACAGGGGCATTTCGTTTCGAAGCCAACGATTGGCTTGAGCGAGGCGCAGCGTTTTAGTGGCAGCAACTATAGTACGTGGCGCTTGAAGTTTATCAGGAGGGCAGAGGAAGTAGACCTCTGGGCGTTCTTTCATCCTGACGAGATGACACAGGAAGGAGTACCACCAGGTGTAGCTGCGACTGCGAGTGAAAAGGCGACGTATAAAAAGAAGAGTAAGCAAGCGTTCTTTCAGCTATGTCACTCCGTTGCAGACAGCATAGCTGTAGGGTTAGATCAGTTTGCAGGGGAGTTAAATCCAGCGCAGAGAGCGTGGGAGTACATGGAGACGGTTTACCTTGGTCGTACCGACACCAACAAAGCGATCGTTAGAAAGAAGTTGCTGTTGTTGAGCATGGAGGAGAAGGAGAGTATCATCGAGTTCGTGAATAGGGCGCGGAGTTATAACGACGATCTGCAGGCGATGGGTGCGGCGGAATCCGAGGGAGAGATGATAGGGTATATCATCAATGGGCTACCGAAGGAGTGGGAGATGGAGATAGGCATGCTGACTTGCAACCCGCCTTCATCACTCACAAAGCTCATAGAGATGCTGCAATTGCTAGAGCTGGTTAAGACGGAGAGGAAGAGGAAGGAGGCAACTGCTAGTAGTGTTGCACCAGTGAAACCAGCTCTAGTTAATGCGACAGGGCCTACAGCAAAGGGCTTTGGTCCATGTTTTGAGTGCGGCAGAAATGGGCATAAGGCAGCCGAGTGCTATTTCAACCCTAAGAGTAAGAATTTCAGGGGAAAGACCTTAGGGAAGGAGCAGGGTGCAGACAGGGAAGCAGGAGAAAAGGCGAGGACAGGATGAGGTTTCATGGGCAGCTGCAATCACTGCGGGCGCTATGGGCATAAGGCAGTAGATTGTTTTCTCAACCCTAGGAGTCAACGCTTCCAAGGGGTACGAGTGCAACAAAAACCAGCAGCGGCTAGAGTAAATGCAGCAGGCGCATTAGCGGAGGAGGATGCTATTCTTGGAGAAGCACATAGAGCGAACTTGGCTAAACCGTCGGAGGTATGCTTGCTCACAAAGGGGCTTGATGAGAAAGGCTGGTTCATGGATAGTGGGTGCACACAGCACATGACCTACAGAGGTGACTGGTTGACTAGTTTCAGACAGTCAACAGTACCCTATGTGCTGCTAGGAGATGAAGGGAGGCTGCCGGTGTTGGGAGAAGGAGAGATCGAGCTACAAAGTCCGTACGGGGAGCTGACCCTTGAAAACGTTTTGCTGGTCGAGAAGCTGCCGCTAAACCTGATTAGCCAGTCTCAGCTCGATAGCACAGGAAGCAAGTTCTTCAGTGATAAGGGAAAGATGTGGGTCTTTGGAATGGATTGGCACATTCTAGCTGAGGGGGTGCGCAGTCAGGGTTTGTACGAGATGAGGTTACAAGTGAAGAGGTTGGTGAAGGGAATAGTTAGCTATCTGCCCGAACCTGAGGAGGGCAAGAAGGCTAGGGAGGAGCAAATTGTCATGATAGAGGAGAGGCCAGAGGGAGAGCCACAGTTACGGTCAATGGCTATAGCAAAGGCGGCAGGAGGAGTGGAGCTAGGCATGTGGCACAGGAGGATGGGTCATGCTAGTGAGGAGCGGCTTAAGGAGATGATGGCGAAGGAGATGGTTATGGGGATGGAGCTGAACCAGAGTAAGGAGTCTGCTAAGCCATGCAGTGAGTGTGTGCAAGGGAAAGCGAGCAAACGTCCACATCCTAAGCACGAGGTTCGAGAACCCTATGGGGCACTCGAAGTCGTGGCTGCAGATGTCTGTGGACCACTACGAGTTGCTTCCAGGCATGGGAGCAGGTATTTCATCACATTCACTAATCTTGGTACACTGAATACGTGGGTAACTGAGATGAGAGATAAGACAGAGGCATTTTCAAGCTTTGTGGCTTGGATGGCTGAAGCTGAACGCCAGAGTGGAAGAGTGTTGAAGGTGTTGAGGACTGACAATGGAGGTGAATTTACAGACAGGAGGTTCACTGAGTTTTGTCAGTCCAAAGGTATCAAGAGGCAACTGACTGTCCCTTATACCCCACAGCACAACAGCATTGCAGAGCGAGCAAACAGGTTCCTGCTGAACAGCGTGAGGAGTATGCTTGCTGATAGTGGGCTTCCACAGAGGTTTTGGGGTGATGCTTTGGCCATGGCATGTTGGATTAAAAACAGACTACCTACCAAAGGTACTGCGAGTGACCTTACCCCTCATGAAGCATTCTAAAGGAGGAAGCCTGATCCTGAGGGTATGGGGCTGTATGGTCCAATATCGAGAGCCGGTTGGTCCTAAGCACAAGCTGTTGCCAAGGACCAGGTGGGGCATAAACCTCGGGATATGTCTCAACAGCAAGGGCTGGGTGGTAAATGACGTGGAGACTGGGAAGGTGCTGATTACTCGAGATACTACTTTCTATGAGGATGTCAGTTATCCCCAGTGGAAAGGCTTGAGCCAAGAGTCAGCAGAGACAGCAAAAACGATGGAGGAACTGCTGGAGGAGGCTAACCAAGAAGGATTAGGAACAGCAGCAGCTGGTAGAGAGAAGGAGACCGAGGAAGAGCAGATTGGGGCTGAGGAGGAATGGGAGTGGCACCCGAAGGAGGTAGAGCAGAGGGTAGCGAGCGACGAGCCAGCAGGACCAGCCATTCAGCCCGTACAGGAGGAGGAAGAGAGCAGGGCAGGACACCATGAGGAAGAGGAGAGTCAGGTAGAAGGAGCAGTTCCGGCAGTGTAAGAGAGATGTAGGGTTACACACGTAGCTTGAGTGAGCAAGCCGCAAACCACAGGGGAGGTTGTTGGAAGTGGTTCGCGCTTGCCCCTAGTCAACGCGTGGCAGCATGGCGTGAGCTAGGTGGCAGTATGGCAGCACTAACAAGTGGCGTAAGCTGAAGACTACATATGGGTGTGCTAGGTGGTGAGGGGCTGCAAGGTTACGTGTTGGAAGGAGGAAGTGTTTGGGACACGCGGAGGACTTGTGAGCGACGAGCGGAATTTGGTACAGTGACGCGGTGTTCGGAGGAGCAGAAATGCGGTTCGGTTATATTGTGTGAAATGCGGTTCGGATGTGCGCTACGCAATGTCATGTCTTAGGAAATGTTTTCATATAAATTTGTTTCTTTGTATCCCTTTGTACATAGTGAATCTGAAAATTCTCCCTCACGTCGTGCTGCCTGTTTGCAACCAGAACTTGACTGGTGGTGTTAAAGCCGTTGACCCAAAACGTGCAAGATTAATAAACATGATAAGGGCAAAAAGTTGGACACAGCATCGCGCAGGGGCGTAGGGCAGTGGTGCGAGGTGGCGAGTGGTTTTCGCCAACGAGCGAGCGTCGCAACACCATGCGCGACAAAAACACTCTTGACGAAACCTCATGAACCAATCAGGGCGCAAAAAAACCGAGCACGCAAAACACCGCCAATATAAAAGGACAAAAGGGGAGGGTGGGACGGAAAGGGGAAATGAGGGGCGCGCTAGGCGCGGGAAGTTGGCTGGGGGGGGGGGGGGGTGGAGGGGAAGGAGGGAGAGAGTGGGAGTGTGGGAGGGGTGATGAACAGCGAACAATAGGAAGGTACACGTAAGGACGTGGTGCTTTTGGCGATATTTGGGCTGTGCAACTTGACCCTGCTGCGCAACTCGTGTGGGTAACTTGACTTGGCAATTTTCGCCAAACAACTTTGGGGTGGGGTGGCGCACGCATATCAACTGTTGTAAAGAACATTGGTGTTTTCACGCCGCTCGCACGAAAAATGCAAATCGAAACGCGAAATTAGATTTGGTGCGGGGAATCTAGTAACAAACAATTCGCTATCGTTTCGGGCACTTCGCAAACTGTGATTACTGCGCTGCGTAACTTGACCCAGTTTTTGCAGAAGTACCACGCCCTTAGGCGTGGTGGCGCTGGGCTGGGTTGCACTTCAAAGGTCCCAAAATGTATGAGCGCATGTTTCAAGTTTCTTTCCGCTCAAACGCCTGGTGTATCGGGGGCAGGGGCGGAATTGGCTGGGGGTGGCGCACGCCTATCACATGTTTCCCGTCTTTTTGGTGCGCGATCTTAGTTTTCCCTCTCGTTTTGCGGAACTGGGTTACCAGAAGGGCAGTTTCAAGATTAATAAACTTGAAACAAAATTTCTGCAATTTGGGTCAACGGCTGTCGGGAGTCGGTTTGGAGTATAAGAACGACCTGAGAGCGGCGAGAGCGCTGCCGGAAATTCTAACAATAGGACGAACCGGACGCTTCGTTCGCGGTGATTTTGCGGGCGGCGCCATCGCACGCGGTGGCCCAAAACCCAACAGTGGGAAGGCTGCGTCTTGGGAAGCTCGGGGAAGAGGCCAAGTGGAACGTGTTCCCTGCGAGAAGCCATTTTGATGTAGGCGGTGGACTCGAAGCACATCCCAAAAATTGGGGGCCGGAAACCTATGCACCTGCTTCGCACGTTCGCGGAAGTGCTATGCACCGACTATGCTCGTGAAGGCTATGTCTAAACGTGTTCATCAGTGAAGCATAAACATAGTTCCGAAATGCAAAGCTCATACAAAGCACCTACTTAGTGCGAGGAGTGTCGAGGGGCATTGCGAAAACATTGTCCATGCTGATCTTCGTGCTATGATGTTGCGCTAGACGTAGCATGCGCTATGCATGTGCTTTGTGTGCTTCCGTCATTGCTATGTTTTTGCTATGCAGACACATAGTATTTCAAGCCTGAAGCATTCCCGCCACAATTCATGTTGTTTTATATCTAGTACACTATGTAGTAATTCTGTAAACCCATGGGAGATATAACAGCTTGATTGCACAAAATTTAAAATACAACAAAATTGAACTACAAATTCAGCACTTCCGTAGCTCGATTTCGGGCAGAACGGGATCACGAGAACGGGATAAAAGCGGTGACATGGAAGCGGATTCCGTTCAACGGCTATTTCCACCATGGCTTCAAATTTGCTTCATCAAGGTCGTGACTGGGTTCTGTCCACTCTTTTCCAGAGCCCTGCATGCCAGCTGAGTACAGGGCAGAGAATGCAAGGCGACAAGACAGGTAGAAATTCTAACAGCATAATTCAACTTACGGATTTCGGCATACGGTAGTAGTACAATCAAAATCTTGTCCAGCAAACAGGAAACCGGGACCGGAGCGTGAGTTGATAAGAGAAATAGGACGGGAAACGACGGAGTCAGGATACATTCAGACTTACCGTTTAGGCCGCCATGGTGATAGTGCCCGGATCGAGGATCGCGGCTGGTACACCATACGGAGGTGCTGCCTTTGGACATAAGAATTTTCTTGATGAGGAACCTGCAACGAAGTAAGAAAAACCAAAGTTATTAGTCAGCAGAAAGGGGCTGTACTGTGGAACGCTATAAAAACGACGAACGGTATAACTACCGATACGCAGGAACGAAAACGCCGCGGCTCCTACTCAATGCAGTCTTAGATCTATGAGCTCAGGGTGGTATGAAAATGGAGAAGGAAGACTAGGGGGAGGGAGAGCAAAGTCTAGAAATGAGGAAGAGGTTGCTGAGCACATGATGGGTCATATGAGTAGGAATTGAGACGTGAGGTGAGGAGTTTCTGTGGCTACCTATTCTGGGTGTGGGTTGATAAGGGGGTGATGTGGTGGTTGGGGATTGGTCAGAAGCTGGCTGCACAATTTTTGCTGGCTCGACCGTTCTTTGGTACGATACAAAGTGTCTCGTTTCTAAGACATCTGTGTTGCGTCTCTTTTACGGTCGCAATAAACAATCGCAAATTATACAGCTCGGCTACCCAGTTTGTCGAAGTGATTTTCCCTTTCGCGAAGCGTGTCGATTTTTCGCCGAAGCGCGTCGAGTTTTCGCCGACCGCATTTTCGCCCATATTTTTCTGAAGCGCGTCGAATTTTCATTGACCAATTACAGACGAGAAATTTGCCCTCTCTCGCGTTTTCTGATTGGCTGGTACGATATTTGTCCTTGGCCAATCATAACCGACCCAGCACGCTGCTCTTGGCCTAGGTAACCCGTGCTTCTTTGGTATGGTTGTTGGGATGTGGCTGGAATGAAGCGGAAACCTACAGGACGCTAATAATTCGCCACGGTAGCGGATAGGTTTAGGTTTGGACGGCCCGATGAAGCGGGGACATAGGGCCTCTGGACAAAGCCTTTGCCAATGTGGACTTTGCTCCCACGAAGCCTTCGTCCCTGCTTCATTCCCATTTCCTCTCAACCTCGTCCAGGGGGACTTCGTAAACCCTTTGTCACAAATGTCCAACCCAACACCGATTCACATTTTTGGGATGCAGTGGCAGTGAACGATACAGCGCACGAGCACACGCGCCAAGTGAAGGGTCTGGGCACTTTACTACTATGGCCTGGCAGGCCCTGTCCCCTGTCAAGGCCTTCACTGCGAGCTGTCGTGCTCGCCGCTCTCCCTTGCGTTGCGTTCCTTGCCCTTCCTTTCTCGTCGCCTGCTCATGTTTCTCCGCTGCCTCGCCTTGCTGGCATTGCTAAATTGCGTTGCTGGCATTCTTCAATTGCCTTGCTGGCGGGGGTCATTGGGAATGGACGAACCAGCATCCGCGTCCTTCAAGTCAAACGCGCCGCTGTTCGCCGCGTTACGTCAGATCGACGAACCAGCACATTGACGGTGCCTACTGTCAGATGGTACTGGACGGTTCGCCGTCCAAGTACAATGCAGCGTGCCCCCCGAACCAGCATTCATGATTCGGCAGTGCCAGCCACGTCCCCTAGTACCGTTCCAAAGGAGCCAGAACGAGCTTGCGACCCTGGCATGGCCGCCGGACCGCTGCTGCATCATCCCAAAAATAGCGTCCAGGTGGTGGAGAGAGGTGGGGAGTGGGGAGTAGGGAAGGGGGGGGGGGAGGGGGAGGGGAAGGCAATGCGCACGACTCGTGTGTGCTTCCTGTGCAGTACTGTACTGAAGAATATCCAACGAGTGCTTCTACAGTACCAGCATCGACGTGACCGTTGACCACTTAAGTACACCCAGATATTCGATCATGTCACAAGTTTTGAAACGACAGGTGTGATTGTTTTTTGTGCCGAGTGACTGTATCGCTTTATTATCACATTGGCCCAGTTTCGCTCATTCGTCGTTTCCCTGGAACTCGCAGGAGAAACATATTAATCACCCCACCAACTAAATATCGCGCCACTCCGTCTTCATAGCCGACATCATCACGCAATTTCGCCTGTACGCCCAATTTTCAGTCGCGTGTTCATTCCAGTAACTTGGGAAGCTCTACTGTAAGCTTGAAACAAATCTATTTTAGGGGCAAGTAGCCGCTTTGTTGAAAGTGCACCCATTCTTCTGGTCTCGGCAAGGGGGTCTCATCCTTAGAGCCCCTTGACCAGTCAGCGAAGCCACCGTCCTCGGCGATTCCCTCAGAAATGAGCTCGCCACGTCACATGAGGTCCAGGCCTATTGGCGGGAAAGATGGTGTCTGGTTCGTCACATGCGTGTTTCTGCGATGTGAGTGTTAGCGACGCTGTGGTCGGTTGATTTCGCACGCCTCCTCTAGCTATGGGATTGGTTCCCAAAACTAAGTTGAATGTACCAAAACATTTCTTTAATTGCGTGTTCTTGAATTGAATAACTGGGTGTAGGCAGGTGTAGGTACTACAGTTCAGCACTAGAGTTGGTTGTGCAGGTGGTTCTTTAGTTTCCTCTAGTCTCTCTTGAGGTCTTCTGCAGTTCCTTAGCCTCAATATCACGTCGTCGCGGCATGGCACACGTCAGCCGCAGCAGCTGCCAGCGCGTTGCAGACTTCGCGGGTGGCAGCGAGGCTTGGATCGAAGCCTCATTCCTTTTGGTTCAGAAAGACTTGGGGCTGATCCTCGTTGGCGCTCAGCTGGCGTGGTGGATTCCCCGCCAACGAGGCGAGTAGGAGCAAGTTCGAAGAGGTCCCCGATTGAAGAATCGCACTGTCAGGAGAATTGCATGAGCTACATTTGGAAGTGATGTTTCAGTATTACAATTTCAAAACGGCCATAAACCTTCACATTTTACAGAATGACATGACAGCTTCTGCAAATTTTTGGGTACGGTAATGTTTTCCAGCGCGATACAACCCTGCATCTACACCAGTAAAATCTACAACTCAAGCACGAGTACAAACAGGTGCTGCCAAAACTGTACAAAATCGATGAGTCCGATAAAAGCCACCCTCATATATTGCACCAGAGGAAAGGATCAAACGGCTCACCGTCCCTACGCACTGCGAGCACAAGACAGATAAGTCCACAGAAAGATATGCTCATGTTTTTAGACTAGCCACCCTTACAGAGCAACGCCTCCAAATTCTGGAACATTGAAGGGGCAGAAGAGATGGTCGGGAAATGAAGAGAAGGGGCGAGGAAAGGCAAAACCACAAAGAGCAAAGCTACATGGTCAACGAAGCCCGTCTCTCACCTCCAAAGAGCAGACGAGGCCTCATGGGTGTGCCATGTCATGTACGTGCCTGTGGCACCGCCCATACACCCCACGTGCCATAAGGATGTCCCTCACCTTCAAAATGCAGGTGTGGCCCCATGGACCTGCCCGTGTTGCCCACCAGCGCCACCACCTGGCCTGCATGCACCCTCTGGAGGAGAGGAGTGAACAGAATCAAGGCAGGTGAACGGGACGACAGGAATGGAATGCCATGGGAGAAGCTCAGGTCAGATTCGAACCAGATCTGCCAGTGCTGGCCACGGGCGCCACCATCTGCCCTGCATTCACCCTCTGGAGGAGTGAATGAAGCCAAGTCAGGTGAACAGAGAGGACGGAGCAGAATCAGGAAGAACAGGTCCCCAGATCTCAGCAGCACTGCCAGTGTTGCCAACCAGCGCCACCACCTAGCCTGCATACATGCACCCTCTGGCGGAGTCAGGTGAGGTAAACAGCGGGGCGAGAGGAGAGAGTGAGGCGCACGAGGAGGAGACTTATGAGTAGACTTCAAAATCAACACAGCCAGTGTTGCCCAGCAGCGGCACCACCTAGCCTGCATGCACCATCAGGTTATGTGGTCAGCAAGGGCAAGAAGAGAGTGTGGCGAGGACGCGGCGGTGGGGATAGATGGAAAAACCAGGGCTGTGGAGCCAAAGACGACTGCTATCGTTGCTGAACAGTGGCACCAGCTGCCCTGCATGCACCCTGGATCGAAACACTTGAGGTCCAGTGAGTGGGGACGGGGAGAGGAGTGCATGAGGGTTTTGAGGGGCCTCAAACTAGTGCCTCTGGCAGGCCCCATGCTCCCTCTGGTGGAATCGGGGAAGAGCGAGCGGAATGCGGGAAGAGCGACGGACGGGCGTGCGGAGGAGAGAAGGGCGTGAGGAGGAGAGAAGGGCGTGGGGAGGAGAGACGGGCGTGCGGAGGAGAGACGGGCGTGAGGAGGACACAAAGTGTGTGAAAGGAGGGAGAGGAGAGAGTGTGAAGCATTCATCCGACCGGCTTGCGAAGCACACAACGCTGTGCAAGCAATGAGCCAACCTGCCCAGCTTGCAATAGCGGCGTGCTCAGCCATGCAAGCGGGCAGAGGGGTCAATGAATCCAGCAAATGAATCAGCGCAATTTACCAAGGGAAGCATGAGGGACGCGACGCATGTACCTGGCCGGCCTGCACGAGCATCTTGGAGCAGTGCGCATAGAGGGTGGTGACGCCCGCCTCATGCCTCAGCGTTACCAGATTGCCGTAGCTGGTGCGGGGTGGGGGGGAGAGAGATGAGCGGAGGTGAGCAGAGATGAGCAGAGATGACCAAAGATGGAGGCATGAGAAGAGAAGAGGAGAGGGAAGAAAAGAAGAGGGGGGAAGAGAAAAGGAGCCATAGAGGGAACCCAGGTGGGCTGCGAATGCCTCGTTTCCATCAGATCTGCTAGGTGCAAGAGAACGAGCCCCATCCCTGTGAGGGAACCATGCAAGTGAGGGGAGGAGAGACGACGAGGACGTGGAGAGAGATGATGGTGCTGGAAGGAAAGGGAAGAAAGGGAGAAAGGGAGAGGATGCCACGGTACATCTCACAAAGGTACATCACACAAAGGCACATGTCACAAAGGTACATGTCACAAAGGTACATGTTACAAAGGTACATGTCACAAAGGTACATGTCACAAAGATACATCTCACCAAGGCATATGTCACAAACTCACATGTCACAAAGGCACATGTCACAAAGGTACATCTCACAAAGGTACATCTCACAAAGGCACATGTCACAAAAGCACATGTCACAAAGGTAGTTGTCACAAAGGTACATCTCAAAAAGGCACATATCACAAAGGTACATCTCGCAACGGCACATGTCACAAAGGTACATCTCGCAACGGCACATGTCACAAAGGTACATCTCGCAAAGGTACATCTCACAACGGCACATGTCACAAAGGTACATGTCACAAAGGTACATCTCACAAAGGTACATTGGGATAGCAGCACTCACACGTCCATCTCCCCCACGTGGTCCACCACTCCACTGCGCGCAGCTCGAATTGGCTCGCCCTCCTCTGCTGCCAGGTCAACGCCCTGGGAGGAAGGAGACGAAGGGGAGGAGGGTGGGAGGGGGAGCAGAGCGCGCAGTTGCTGCAGATGTGACGATGGGTTCCATGCCATTGTGTGGGCTCGCCCTCCTCTGCTGCCAGGTCAGCGCCCTGCCAAGTCAACGCCCTGCCAAGTCAACGCCCTGCCAAGTCAAGACCTCGCCAAGTCAGCGCCCTGCCAAGTCAGCGCCCTGCCAAGTCAGCGCCCTGCCAAGTCAGCGCCCTGCCAATAGCAGTGTGTTAGGTGAGGGAGGAGGAAACGACAAAGAAAAAACTCAGCTGCCCCTGCTTGAATCTACTGGGGGCGACAGCACCGCCCTGCCACAGCTGTGGCTGTGAGGGAGGGAGAGCACACGTGAGAAAAGGGGGCACGTCAAACACACGCTGCAGAGCAGGAGTTAAAACTAGGTCGGCCTTAAAAATACCATTTCTTAGAATACTATTATGGCAGTGAAAGGGGAATGGGACGGAATGAGAAAACTGAGACGGAATGAGCCAGCACTGGCTGCCGGACGAATCCAGATCCCCAGGCTACTGATGATGACAGAAGGTGAAAAGCTTTCTGCGTGGCGGCAAGAACAGGTGGATCTACAAAACGACAGGAATGAACAGGGATGGTACCTAGGGAGGGATGCGGGGCAAGTTTAGGCGACAGTCACTCACTCGGTGAAACGACCCCCATCTTGGTCCAAAGGGGCTGCTGACAAAACTGCAAGTGGGGGTGGTCAGGTCAGGGGAGGATTTTTTTCAGGAGAGGGCAGAAAATGGGTGAGCTGCAGATGTGAAATGACCCCCATCTAGGACCAAAATGGCTGCTGACAAACCTGCCGGTGCAGTATGGAGAGTCCAGAATAACAGGTGTGCAGTATTGCTTATGGGGTGACTTTTCAGTCGACTCAAAAGTCATGTGCGGCGCGGAAAGCCCAGAAAAATCCGGGGGGGGGAGACATTTGGAGGAGGACGAATAACAGATGGGCAGTATGGCTTACAAGAGCAAAGAGTAATCGCACCATGCTGCACCCGCAGCACTGCACTGCACGGAAAAGCCTGGCACGTCACAGCAGCAGGCCACATTGCAGCACTCCACCCCCCACAAACCTTAGTTGCTACAAACGCTCTGGCAGACGCGCGTTTAGCATTCAAACGCGCGTTTGAACGCAAACGCCAAACGCACCCAAAAACGCAAACACTCGCTGGGAATTTTTTCGGGCTGTCCCCCTGAAAAAAACACACACAAAAAATCCGCAAAATTGAGACACGGCGAATTCAGCGCGACATTTGCCAAGTCCCAACTCCCAACCATCTTGTCAATATTCACCTCCCAACCAACTCCCCCCCCTCAACCGCACTCCACACATCGTCAACTAGAACTTCCAACCCCTCCTCACACCTCATACTCCCACGCTAACTCCCATTTTCGTCCCCCGGCAAAACTGCTTACCCTAATTGCCGCGTAGGCTCTTTCCCACCCCATGCAATAGCTGGCAGAACCCCCATGTTTCATCCCTCCCCCACAGGAGATTTTTACCCCTGCCCGGGCAAGCGTTTGCCTAGCGTTCACATACACTGTGCCGAGCGTTTAGCGTTCAAACGCCAAACGCGTTTGTAGCAACTAAGCCACAAACCTCTCAGAGCACCCCTCCATGGGGGACCGCAGGGGCAGCCACCCGTGCAGCAGGCGATGAAAGCCCTTCCTCCGTGCCTCATCCCACCGCGCTGCACCCATTCAAAGCACGGCAGGCATTCACAGCCCGGCAGTCATTGGAAGCGCAACCATACGCACAGTGGGTTGGGGATGCCAGGTGGCAGGGAGGAGGGAACAACGATGAGGCGAGAACCTCTGGTGTGAAGAAAGAAGGGAAGAATAAAAAAAGGGCAAGCAAAAACAAAATCTGGAAAACATAACCTCATCTCCGCAAGGGGAAGGCGAGGGGAAGGCAAGGGGAAGGCAAGGGGAAGGCAAGGGGGGGGATCACTCACTCACAGGACACGCGCATGCATAGGACCTATCCCTAGTACTGCAGAGAACCACCCGCGTCCCATCTGCCTGCCTTTGGCCTGGTTGGGCTGGTGCCGAGTGCCGGGGTGGTAGCGCCAGGTGTCGTGCTGTAGATGGCCGAGAGCTGGTGGGCGGACCCATGGGCGCGAGAAGAGCAGGCGGTTGGTGCGACGGAGACCGGGACGCACGTCAGGCAGCGGGGGGGTGATGGCGCCTGGAAGGGGAAGGGGGAGGGGGGCGAAGGAGGGAGAGGGGGGTCGATGGGATGGGACGAGCAGGCGGTTGGTGCGTGGGGGGCAAGAGGATAGCGGATGGGATGGGCGATAGGAGAGCAGGCGGGCTGGCGTGACGCACACCACGGCGCACGTCACGTAAGTTGGGGGTTATGGCGCCTGGAGGGGGAGGAAGGGAAGGGGGGAGGAGAAGGGGGGAGGAGAAGGGGGGAGGAGAAGGGGGGAGGAGAAGGGGGGAGGAGAAGGGGGGAGGAGAAGGGGGGAGGAGAAGGGGGAGGAAAAGGGGGGAGGAGAAGGGGGGAGGAGACGGGGGGAGGAGAAGGGGGGAGGAGAAGGGGGGAGGAGAAGGGGGGAGGAGAAGGGGGGAGGAGAAGGGGGGAGGAGAAGGGGGGAGGAGAAGGGGGGAGGCGAAGGGGGGAGGCGAAGGGGGGAGGAGAAGGGGGGAGGCGAAGGGGGGAGGCGAAGGGGGGAACAAGGCGGGGGGAGCGAAGACAGGAGATGGGGACAAAGGAGGAGGCGGTTGGTGCGCGGGGGGAACCAGGACGCGTGATGTGAAGAGGGGGAGTGATGGCGCCTCGAAGGTAAGGGGTGGGAATGTGGGGAGGGGGAGGGAGTGGGGGGTGGTTGTGTAGGAGATTGGGGGGGGTGAAGAAGAGATGAGATCACAAAGCGGAGGGGGAATGACGCCAGGACGAGTGCATCTGAGAGAGAGGAGATGGACTGTTAGAAGGATGATGGCACCGTTGGAGTCATGAAGCACTGCGGATGCGTGCAAGGGAGAGTGGCAACGGGATACGCCAAGGCACGAGAGTAGGGGATGCTGGCTGGCTGAATCCCTGGGCTCCATAAGGGAGCTTCCGATGAAGGAGTGGGAATGGCCGAGAGGATATGTGAAGGCACGAGGGTATGCCATGCCGTACCTCTGGGTGCGAGGGTATGCCATGCCGTACCTCTGGGTGCGAGGGCATGCCATGCTGTACCTCTGGGTGCGAGGGTATGCCATGCCGTACCTCTGGGTGCGAGAGTATGCCATGCCGTACCTCTGGGTGCGAGGGTATGCCATGCCGTACCTCTGGGTGCGAGGGTATGCCATGCCGTACCTCTGGGTGCGAGGGTATGCCATACCTTACCTCTGGGTGCGAGGGTATGCCATGCCGTACCTCTGGGTGCGAGGGTATGCCATGCCGTACCTCTGGGTGCGAGGGTATGCCATGCCGTACCTCTGGGTGCGAGGGTATGCCATGCCGTACCTCTGGGTGCGAGGGTATGCCATGCCATACCTCTGGGTGCGAGGGTATGCCATGCTGTACCTCTGGGTGCGAGGGTATGCCATGCCGTACCTCTGGGTGCGAGAGTATGCCATGCCGTACCTCTGGGTGCGAGGGTATGCCATGCCGTACCTCTGGGTGCGAGGGTATGCCATACCTTACCTCTGGGTGCGAGGGTATGCCATGCCGTACCTCTGGGTGCGAGGGTATGCCATGCCGTACCTCTGGGTGCGAGGGTATGCCATGCCGTACCTCTGGGTGCGAGGGTATGCCATGCCGTACCTCTGGTGCGAGGGTATGCCATGCCGTACCTCTGGGTGCGAGGGTATGCCATACCTTACCTCTGGGTGCGAGGGTATGCCATGCCGTACCTCTGGGTGCGAGGGTATGCCATGCCGTACCTCTGGGTGCGAGGGTATGCCATGCCGTACCTCTGGGTGCGAGGGTATGCCATGCCGTACCTCTGGTGCGAGGGTATGCCATGCCGTACCTCTGGGTGCGAGCAGAGTCGAGCCTTCATATAGGGCGTCTGACTGCATGCCGTTTATTCTCTGCAGCTCGCGTATAGTCACACTGCCCAGTACTCACAACAAGCCACAGCACAAGCACAAGCACAAGCACAAGCACAAGCACACGAGCAGCAAGAGCAGCAAGAGCAGGGAGAGCAGCAAGAGCAGCAAGAGCAGCAAGAGCAGCAAGAGCAGCAAGAGCAGCAAGAGCAGCAAGAGCAGCAAGAGCAGCAAGAGCAGGGAGAGCAGCAAGAGCAGCAAGAGCAGGGAGAGCAGCAAGAGCAGCAAGAGCAGGGAGAGCAGCAAGAGCAGCAAGAGCAGGGAGAGCAGCAAGAGCAGCAAGAGCAGCAAGAGCAGCAAGAGCAGCAAGAGCAGCAAGAGCAGCAAGAGCAGCAAGAGCAGCAAGAGCAGGGAGAGCAGCAAGAGCAGCAAGAGCAGGGAGAGCAGCAAGAGCAGCAAGAGCAGGGAGAGCAGCAAGAGTAGCAAGAGCAGGGAGAGCAGCAAGAGCAGCAAGAGCAGGGAGAGCAGGGAGAGCAGGGAGAGCAGGGAGAGCAGGGAGAGCAGGGAGAGCAGGGAATATGAGGACATGAGCATGGAGAGTGCAACGAGCAGGTACTATGTGCGCACGGACTAGACTATAGCAAGGAACGAAAGCGTAGTCCGTTACTTACTGGCGCACACAGGATGCATATCCGTTAGAAGCATACTGAACTCATCCCATTATAAAGAAGCACTTCAGGGAGATTCATCCCCCCGTTACAAGCAGCACCCGAACGAGAACAAATCTCCCTGAACCCGATTTTATCTCCTGTATCCGATCTTATTTTCTGTATCCGATTTTATCTCGTGTACCTGAATCGAGCAGCGAGGGCAGCCAGCGTGTCGCCGTATCGCACGAAGAACGGCTTCAGAGGAACCTTCTTACTCTCCACTCTGCTCCCCCACAGGTTGTACGGATCTACCACCAACTGCATTGCGCCACGTGGCAGCACAGGCCGCCTCCCCGTCGACAGAGTCCCTCGCATCAGCTCCCTTCGCTCTGATTGGTTTGCTAACTTCACCTTAGGGACTATCCTCTTACTCCCCGATTTGCCGCTCTTTCCTCGTCTCTGCTGCTCCGCTCTACTGCCACGTGTCACGTCCTTAGGAGTACTCCCCGAGGCGCGTCGGCTGACAGCGCGGATAGACATGGACGGGGGAGCCGAGGCCGATCCGGCAGTAGGAGGCTCTCGAATCGCCTGGCCTGCCACGTCAGCGTCGTCAATTCTGGCGGCAGCATTTTCTGTCGCCGCGATAAGGACAATCGCGACCTCCTCTGCCGCCGCGATCTCCGCTGCCTCTGCTACAACGTCCAGCGGCGCCGTCGATCGTTGCTTGGTCGATCGTTGGTTCGTCATGGGCGGGAGCGACGCGACGCGGCGAGACGGTTGAGAAGGAAGCGCAGGTGGAGACGGAATCAAAAGCAGACAAGATGGGAAATCTCAAGAGTGCCGCGGAACGGCGGCATTCCCAAGGGGATAGGCTGGGCTGGCTTGCGAAGAGCAAGAATTCGGGAACCCGTAAGCGCAGCGAGGCGTTGTTGAGTCCGGTCAGGTCAGCACGCGATCAGGAATGCAGCGGACGGTATTCCCAAGGGCGGCATGGCGAGGCTGCCATGAGAGCGAGACTCGAATGGCTGGTGGCGAAAATAGGAGCGCGATGCGTGCTGTGTCCGAAAGGGCACATGAAAGTTGAAAGGTGCGAGGGCGCGATCGTTTGAGGGTTTGTATAAGGGCGTGGTGCTTTGAGCTTGGGGCATTTTCTCGTGCTCTGAGTTCGAGTTTCGCGAATTTCTGGAAGCGGCGTACTGTATTATGGAACAAGACATTCGAACTACAAGGTGGGTGACGGAAACGAAGTACGTCAGCATGGCAAATCCGAGGCGTTCGCGAATCATGCGAAATGCAAGACATCGCAATTGCGCGCCGCGCCAGGGTGCTCGAGACCCGGGGGGGCGCGCTGCATTGACTCGTGCTTGACCTGTCAAGTCAAGGGGTTGTGCGGTTCCTGGCGAGAGTGGTAACGAAGTCCACTTTCCTACAGTCTCGCGAATCTCGCGAGTCGGACACTTGGAGCCTTTGGCAGGATGTTTCGAACTGCGCGGAATCTGCTGTCCGAACGGGCGTGTTCGAACCGCCCTCGCACCAATGTTGTCTCAAATTTCCGGTGGTGATCTGATGCCCTCATGAAATAGGCGATTACCGTTCGCAGCAAATGTAACCACCTGCTAGTTCAGAAATTTTCAAACAACCAGAACTCAAAGCACCACGCCCTGAGAAATCCTACCGAACCATTTTCGATGTCTGAGGAAGGGGAAAACTACTGCCACGGACTGTCCACGAAACTTTTCATTTTTCCGTGGACAAGCCCTACTATCATGGACACCACATCGAAGTTGTGCTTCTCCCGTGGACTCCGTCAATACTTTCGTGGACTCCTGCCTTACTTCCATGGACACACGCATATTCGCAGTTAAGGAGGAGTATACAGCAATCTACAAGGGAATACGGGCACAAAAATAGAATTACTCTAGACTATCTGTCCGTCGCAAGTTATCGCGGACTACAGAGTCGGAAACCAGTTCGGAAACAGAATCTCGGAGCTTTTCTGGGAAGAGTTTGCAACCGCACTCAAATATGCAGTAAACTTTCAAAAACATAGTGTATGAGGACCCGCATGATAGAAACACTTATTGTTCAAATTAGAACTACTCAACAAAATCATAATCGAGCCAGCATCAATCAGCAGTTGTTTTCTCCTTCGTAGTACATTTCATATTCCCTTAGCACCCGGGGGGCGACGCGGCACGTTTCCCTTTTAACGAATACTGGCCGTACGGTAAGGGCAACGTGGACTATGGGGTTTCCCCATGAAGTGGGACGTTGTTTTTTGTGTACTGTGCATGGGTGGCTTGACTGGCATATGCTGCGCATAGCCACGTCGCAAGCCTCTCCACGTGTGTATCAACTCTGCGTTTCAAGAGAATGTCAGAATTGATTCCATATGTGACAATCATGGACTGTAATTAGGCAACAAACAGAATTGCCTCGACAAAGACAGCACTCGACACTAGACTAGACTCGAAATAAGACTCCGACCGAAAACCATGCTTACGTTGACCGACACTACCCAACTCCGTGCAACACTGCACAACCACCTCGCCGCTAAGGTCATAGGCAGAGCACAAGGCCGCTCGCGCCTCCACATACACGCGCCAAACCCGAACTCCATAATTAACCGCCTAACCATGCGCAACACTTCACCGCCTAGTACCCACGATAGGTAGCAGGCTGCGCGCCAAAGGTCATCCACTCGCATGCGTCTGGATATCCGATCATGACTGCAGTGGCTCCACGGACATGACTGAGGTACTCTTCCTCCGCCGCGCCGGGCGCATTGTTAGTGTCCAGACGGGGGGATGCGCGCTCCAGGCGATCAATAACCGCAGGTTCGCGGATGTCGAACAGCACTCGTAGATCGCGCGGCGCCAAGCCAATGGACTTGGCGTAGCCAATTAGCATCTCTGTCGCCATGCGCGAGAGATTGCAACGGTTCCGCGCTGAGTCGTTCGGAGCCGGGGGGGGAGGCGCGTTCGCCCACCACGCATCCCGCTGGGCCGGGCCAAGCGGCTCCACCTCAAGTGGGTCCACCCCGCTCGAGTCGTCGTCACGCTCGGCGGTGACGAAGCGAACGGCTGAAATCATATCGTCCGGGCCGAATGGCAGGGCGCTTGTGATCTGCTGCACCGGCTCGATCTCATGCTCTAGCCGAGGCTCCTGCTCTTCAGAATTGGCGCCGAGGAGAGGTAGCAGCGGCTGCCAGCTAGCGGGCAGCATTCGCGTCCTCGAGAAGCACTTATGGATGGTCGTGATATCCAAGCCAACGCACGAATCCGACTCCCCGGTTACCACCTGCCACATCTCGGGCTTCCACTTCTAAACGGCAGCGACGGTAACGCCACGGATCTGCCACTGTGCGACAACTGCTTGAAGCAACTCCACCTTGTAACGTGCCTTTAGAGCTGCGATAAGGCCCTGATCTAGAGGCTGAGTGAACGGGGTCGTGTTCGGTGGCAAGTACACAAGGCGCATGTGCGAGAGCGCACGCGTCCGAAACCCGCAGATGTCGGCTGACGTGGCGAGTGGGGATTGGACCAGGTGACTCGACGCGTTGTCGAGCATGACGACGATGCGTCATCCTTCCGCCATGCAGCACGCGTTAATGTGTTCGAAGAACGCTGGGAAAACCTGTACGGGGCATATGGGATGATTGTCTTGTTAGCTTATTATTTTTACTGTCGTACGCCTCATTTTGCATCGGACAGATAACGGTACGTTGCATGCAAGCGATGGAAAGCGAGGCATTTACTTCTGCCGTCATCCATCCGGAGGTGTTCGCGCGCCAGTAGCAGTACTTCGCAGGGTCAAATTTCTGCTTTGCGAAACAACAGGGCCGTTCAAATTTGTGAATGATTAACGGCCTGAAAAGCTTCGAGCCGTCCGCATTCACCAGCAGCACGATTGTAAGCTGGTCCTCGCAGACCTTCTTGCGCGGGGTAGGGTCGATACAGAATGTGTGGTCGGATAGGAGACAGTAGTAGACGCAGGTCTCGTCGAATTTGAACAGATTCTCCGGAGTCAGGCCAAGCTGGTCGTACAGCCTCGGGAAATGTAGTTGCGCGGTCAGAGTGGCGCCCTCGTCAGCAGACTTCGCTTCGCCGCTCATCTTACACCACTTCAATCCCATTCGGCGCAATGCTTTCTGAACCCATCCAACAGAAGCTTTGTACTCGCTAGGCACGTTGCACTCGGGTGCTAGCAGAATCGCGCGCTGCTGGATTAGAGCCGTCGAGATTGGCAAGCCATCATCATTTGTGCTTTTCAGCCAGCTCTTAAGTCAAGCTTCTAGTAAAGGCCAGTGTGGGTTACGCACCCTTTTAAAGTTGGCGCGTTCGGGCCTGATGGCCCGCCACTTCTGTTCTGTTTGCAGAACTCGCCCGACTGTGCTGCGATCCGGCCATAGGTCGTATCTGGTGTGGCACCATCGCCCAATGCCTTCGAGCCGCAAGGTCGGATTCTTGTTGGCGTACAGGGAGATCGCAATATTTTGCCCGACGGAGAGCGCACTTCGGCGTACAGGTGCCATGTGGATGACCTCGTGGGTCTAGCGGGCTCGTTCTTTGTATTGTGAAGAGGTCGTTGTTTGAGGTATACAAATAACCCCGGGGTGTCTGCATTGCTGGTGGGGGGAACGATGTTGGGACCCCTCTGTTGCTTCCTTGGCGCGTTCGTATTGGCTGTGGGTTGACGGATTTCCCAGAGGCAACGCCGACGGATTATGTTGGCGTTGCTGGCGTAATTCTACTGGACCGTCAGTGAGCTGGTCGTATCTAGCACATCATGTGGATTTCTTCCTCGACATTGGTTGGTGAGTCTGACACATTTGGATTTTTAGAGGCTCGCCGACTACTAGGTGTAGTCGCTCTGGAAACACAAGAGCAAACTGATTGGACGGCCTAAGATCAGCCGAATTGACTGTCTAATTTACTGTTCAGTTTAGACGGGTACACTTTGCTTACAATGAGTGGCCCGGAAAGATAAAATGCCTATGGAATACTCCTGGGTATAAAATGGGGTCGTCTACAAGGCATATAATATGTATATGATTTTATTATGAGGAATTTTGTGAACGAAAAAAAAAGAACTCGAGAAATATATTTTTCAGAAAGTATGTTTCTCATTCAAATTGAATAACATATTCCCAAAATTGTGAATGTAAAATACTTGTGGTATTATGTTTTGCCTATTATTATTTTATTTTGGAACAAAATTTTATTTATAATAGCATAAGCACTTAAAAACCTCCATTTATACAGCCATGTATATCAAAAGTGATTGATATTGAGAGATTTCACATCCTTATCGAAAATTCAATCCAAATATTTGTTGAAACATTTGGAAATGCCAGAATTTATGGTATTCCATATTCCTAATAGACAGAAATTCCAAACCGTTATGTTGGGACTACTATGATTTTAACAGAACTCTTTTAACCTTGTAACCATAATATCTATCTTTATTCTACAACGTGAATTTTTTTCTAGCGAGATTTAGCCTACTCGATCTGCTATACTTGTCCTTCAACTAATACCGCTTCGTTACAGTCATTCAAATGAATTTTGAGGATCGCTTCGGAGTTTCCTTAAAGCCCGAGTCTAGAATGGTTTGCTATCAAGTTTAGGAATCCTGAACTTGTTTTCGTCCAACAGAGGGTAACGTAGTAAATGCCATTTGAACGTCGCAACTCTTAGGGAACAAGGGGCAGCTTGTGAATGCAGCTGAAAAGGACAAACTTGCAATTATTGTTCATATCAGTATTCTTGATTTTCGCCTGCGACCATTCTGAACGCATTTTTGTGGGGGCCTCGCGTCACTGTTCGTTCCCCCCCTTCCCCCGCCCCCCACACACTGTTCATGCACTGTTGAGCTCGGTTCATGCCGATGAAATTCCGTGCTGCGATTACGGTTCTGCTATTTCGCCAAGGAACTTTGCCGAAATTACTTTCGCCCAGTTTTTTTGGCACTGTTTTCATGCCCAGTATTCATGATTTTTAACCATTCTAGACTCGGGTTTTAAACACGTGAGACAGCTAGCGGACTTGGTGGCTTGCAATTACTGTAGCTTGCGACTATTTGCGACAGTCTTGATTTCGCTATAATTTTCTTTTTTTGTCCCGTCAGCATCTGTACAGTTCTGTATGTTTGTTTTGTTTCAAATTCGCATGTTCATGGAAGTAAGCCTGGAGTCCAGACGGAGTCCATGCAAGAAGCAAAACTTAGATGTGGTGTCCATGAAAGTAGGGCCTGTCCACGAAAGTGAAAAGTTTCGTGGACAGTCCGAGGCAGTGATTTTCCCCTGAGGAAGCGTTTTAGAACCCAACCGCATGAAAGTTACCACTCGTCATACGCCCAACGAATAAAGCAACACACCAGACCATGCGTCGCACCTACCATAGTGTGCTTTTGCGGATAAGGTTGGTGAAAAGTGCAAAACCACGGGAATCCGCATGTGCGTCAGCCGGGAATCGAACCCGGATCTTTTGCTTGGAAGGCAAATATCCTGACCATTGGACTACTGACGCGATGCTTTGACGCAGCCAAGTAAATCTAAATTTAGTTTACGTATTCCGAAGTCGACAGCCCAGACATAACTTTCCCTGTGGCTGATGGCAAGTCGCATGGTCGGATATGGCCGAGGAGGGGGAGGAAGATCGGGGAGCGACGATGGCGCCGCAGGCCGCGGTAGGGGCAGAGACAGCGGGGACAGCGCCGGTCGAGGGCGGGGATCGCGGGCGGATAGTCGCCAGCCTCCCGTGCAGCAACACCCTAGATACCCGTATCAACGGCAGCCAGGCCAGCAGGCTTATCAGCAATCAACGGCGGAGATCGCTTCCGCAGGCTCGGCGCAAGGAAGCAGAGGCGGAGCTGGCGGGTTCTCTCGGCCCACCGGCGGGGGATATCAGGGTGCCGGGGGATTTCAGGCTTCCGCTGGCGCAGGCGGAGGGAGGGTAAGCGGCGGAGGACGCGATCAGCAAATCGCGGAGCAAAGAGGAGCATCGGCGCGCAGTGGCGCAGCTTCCGCGAGCTCCGCGGACGCTGCTTCGGCTGGCAGCGTGCCACGTGGCACTCCTAGATTGGCCGGACATAATAAGCCAGCTAGCGACTATGATTACGGTCGCGGCGATCGCGGTCGTGGTGACCACGTGGCTAAGGTGGAGGTTGGTAGTCGCAGTGGGGATGTGCCACGTGGCCAAGGCAGAGGGGCTCACAGCGGATCGACTGCCACGTCAGACGAAGGGTGAGGGAAAATTCGTCGTCTGCCACGTTGGGTGCGCGTGCAAGCGAAGCTGCCACCTGTCTGTTCCATCGAGGTCTTCGTCACCCTGATGCCCATAATTTCTTCTCTTTCTTTCAGCCATCATCCATTTTCGGATGGTCCGCGCCGCATGCGCATCGGTCTCTTGCAGAAATTCGCAAATCCCGCTGCAAACCTCACGGCGTGTCATTACCCGCCCGAAACCTCAAACGCTCAGCCGTGATTTTCCCGATCCCTCTTCTGACGTTGTCTGAATCCTGCTCCGTGCTCGTTGCCTCTTGCTTCCCCGCGTTTCGGTGCCTCAGGCAAGGGCGTGCTGGTGGTGGGCTTACTCGGCCCCAACGACTCCCGCCTCACCTCGCTGCTGCAGCACCCTGCCTTCTCCCCATCGCATTGTGTCCTCCCCTTTGTCTTGTGCCCAACCCAACCCCATGCACTTTCATCACCCCACCACAACTAGCAGCGCCAGTGGCAGGGGCAAGGGCGTGCTGGTGGTGGGCTTTTTCGGCTCCAATGACTCTCAGCTCACCGCGCTGCTCAACCACCTGATACAGTACCCTGCCTTCTCCTCGCCCTCTACCCGATTCGATATAGACACAAGTGGAGATGCATATGGCGGGTCTGTTGCTGGCGGTGACCCCGAGAGCACGGGGCCTGTTTTTAGTGCTGCCACGTGGCAGCGTCTGGGGCTGCCACGTGGCATGCTGGAGCAGTACTACGTTCGGCAGCAGAACGTGGTTTTAGTGAAGCTGTGCACGGATGTGACTAAAAGCGCGCCTAAGAGTGGCACGAGAAGTGTGACTAAAGCGAGGGGAACTGGGGGGGGTGGAAAGGGGAATGTGAAGGGGAGTGTGATGGATGCCGAGGAGGAGGATGGGAGTTCAACGGTTAGAGCGGTGAAGAATGGAGCACGTAGCGGGAGCTTGGGCAGTGGGGGGGAGGAGAGTAGGCGAGAGGGGGGGGAGGGAGGAGAGGGAGGAGAGGGGCATGCGAGTCGAGAGGGGGAGAGGGAAGAGGGAGAGAGTGGAAAGGCAAGGGCGTGTGGGTTGCGGCAGGAGGGGGAGGTGGGGCACCAGGAAGTGGGGCACCAGGAAGTGGGGCACCAGGAAGTGGGGCACCAGGAAGTGGGTGCGCACGAGAGGGAGGAAAGGGCAGATAGACCTTCTGTGGTGGGAAGCGGAGAGGAGGAGAGGGAGAGGGAGGAGGCGGAGGAGAGGGGGGGAAAGGAGGCGAAGGAGAGGGGGGGAGAGGAGAGGGAGGAAGCGCATGAGGAGCCAGCGAGGAGCAGAGAGATAGTAGCCACAGAGGAGGAGGAAGGTGGGAGGGAGGAGCAGAGGGGAGAGGAGGAAGAGCGAGCGGGCGATGAAGAGCTGCAGGAGGCGGGGAGGGAGGGCGAGGAGGAGGAGGAGGGGGGGGTGGAGGAGGAAGGGGAAGAAGAGGAGGAAGATTTGGAGGACGACGAGGAGAGGGAAGAAGAGGCAGAGGAGGAAGACGGGAGAGAGGAGGAGGAAGACGGGGGAGAGGAGGAGGAAGACGGGAGAGAGGAGAAGGAAGATGGGGGAGAGGAGGAGGAAGACGGGGGAGAGGAGGAGGAAGACGGGGGAGAGGAGGAGGAAGACGGGGGAGAGGAGGAAGAGGAGGAGAGGGACATGGAGGCAGCAGTGGTGCGTGCCTCGCTGCTCTTCTTCTCCGCGTGCAACATCGTGGTGTGTGTGAGCCCCTCGCCGCACCTGGACCCCCACCTGCTGCACTTCTTCCGCCGCCTGCAGCAGGCCAAGCTCGCCCTGCTGCCCACCCTGCTGCTGCCGCACGCACAGGGGATCCGGGAGCAGCAGGAGCAGGAGGAGAAGCAGGAGAAGCATGGGCAGCAGCAGGGGCAGCAGCAGGGGCAGCAGCATGGGCAACAGCAGCAGCAAGACCAACAGGTGGAGGGACGGCGTGAGGATTTGGAAGCAGATTCTGCTGCCTCAGCAGCCGAACAAGCACAGCATGCTTTCTCAGTGGCTCTCACTACAGCGCCCAACGCCCGGACGGCAGTGCCACTGTCGCTGCCTGCACCGTCCCGCCCCCTTTCTACTTCATTGCTGCCAACCCTTCCTCCACAGATGCTCCTGCACCAGTCTTCTCACTATGCTGCTCCCAGCAGCAGCAGCAGCAGCAGCAGCAGCAGCAGCAGCAGCTTTCGCTCTGACCATACAGCCCAGGAGGAGCCGTCGAGGCTGCTGCTGCTCCCCGGCTTCGCCACCCCCTGCCTGCTCTTCGTCTTCCCTGTGCCCTTCGCCTCCGCCCAGGCTGCTCTGGCCGTGAACCAAGCACCAGCAGGGGGAGGACGGGGAGAAGCGGGGGGAAGGGACGGTGGGGCAGGGAGGGAGGCATCTGCAGCAGCAGCAGATGGTTCTACCCTGGGTGCTTCTGCTGCTGCTGCTGCTTCTGCTGTCGGCCCCACTGGTGCTGCTGGTGTTGCTGCTGGTGATGCGAGTCCACCTGTCATGTCGCCATTGGTCATCCGCCGTCGCATGCAGTCCTCCCTGGAGTCGCAGATCCGATCTCTGCTCAAGCGCTGCCGCCCAGTGGCCTCTGCTATGGACGTACACGTGGCAGGCCCCCGTTGGCTGAGGCAATGGACGGCCATGATGAAGAGTGGGGCGCTGGGGCAGATGAAGGACCAGGAAGGAACGGCAGCAGCAGGAGCAGCAGCAGCGCCATCAGCATCAGCGACAGCGGATGCATCAGTGGCAGCAGCGGTGGCAGCAGCAGCATCTCCTCTGTTTGTCCTGGACCCCTCTCGCTGTGCTCTGGTGATTCATGACTCCGCTGTCTCCACCCGTCACGGCCTCTCTGCTGCCACTGATGCACTCATGGCCGTTCAACTCGGCGGCGCAGGCGGCAATTTGGGCGGCATGGGCAGTGACATGGGCATAGCGGTCTTGGCATCGTTGCAGCAGCAGCAGCAGCAGCAGCATGATGGGAGCTCCACTTCGTTGTCCTCCTCTCCTGCTGCTTCTGTAGCCCCAGCATCAGCAGCGGCATCGCTATCGAGCCTCCCTCTTTCCTTCTCCTTACTCTCACCATCCTTCTCATCACTCTCTCCCTTCTCCCCACTGCTTATGAACCCTCCTCCACAACCTCCCTCCTCCTCCCCGTCCCCTGCGCACCCCCCCTCCCCCCTGTTTGCTGCCCTCTCACGCCCCTCTCCGCTGGCTGACACGGCAGCTGGGTCGTTGTGGGACTTCATAGTGGGGCAGAGGGAGGTCATGGAAGCACGGTGGAAAGGGGCACAGCTGCTTTCTGTAAAAGGCGCTGCCAGTGTTGCGAGAAGTGCCAGCAGCGGCAGCAACCGTGGCAGCAGCAGCAGAGGTGGGAGTGGTGGCAGAGACAGCAGCAGCAGCAGCAGCAGCACAGCAGCAGCAGATGCAGGTGCAGCGGCAGGCGAAGGAGGAGAAGGAGAAGGGGCGGACACAGAACCAGACGCAGCCGCAGGCGGAGGGGCAGGAGCAAGGGCAGCGGCAGGGGCAGGGAGGGGGGGCGTGAGGGGGAGGGGCGGGTGGGCAGGGGCGTTGGGACTGACTAGGGGCGGAATGGGTGGAGGGGGGGCACGGGGACGCATGGGGGGAGGCGGAGGGGGGTCTGCAGGCGGAGTGGCGGGAGGGGGACTGCCATGGGAGCTACCAGATTTTGAAACGTGGCAGGCAGGGCGTGAGAGGGTGGCTCGTGTGTTGTGTGAGTGGAGGGGAGACGGGAGGGGGAGAGGCGATTGGGGTATGGGTCAGAGCTTGGAAGGAGGGGTTGGAAGCGGTGAAATGGGGTTTGGAGTGGTGGTGTCGTTGGCTTTGGCTGGTACAGGTGGCACAAGTGCTGGTAACGGAGGGATGCGAGGAGTGCGAGGAGGAAGAGGAGGAGGAAGAATGGGAAGAGGAGGAAGAGTGGAAAGAGGAAGAGGCACAGGAGCAGGGAGAGTGGCAGCGCCAGCACAAGCACTGCACACACCAACCCCACCAATGCTCACGCCATCACAATCTCAATCGCTGCACTCCCCCGTCGCTCTCTTCTCCTCGCTTCTCTGCCAAAGAGCCCTCACCCTAGCATTCCACACCTACCGCAGGGGTCTGGCCCCGGTCTACACTGCCCGAGTGCACCATGAACACGTCCGGGCAGCGGTGAAGGTTTTTGCGGAGACTGCCCGAGGACCTGCCCGAGAGGAGTGTTTTGAGCAGCTGAAGAGGCTCTGTTATGAGCACTGGGCGGGGGGAGGAGTAGGAGGGGGAAGAGGAGGGGGAGAAGGAGGGGGGAGGCAGCAGTGTGAGGCAGTGTCTGTCTTGGGGCTACCATGCTGGGTACTGCTGGGGCATGAGACGTGGGATGGAGGAGAGAGGGAGCAAGTGCATGGGAGGGCGGTGGAAGCAGCAGCGGAACATGGCAGAGAGGGTGGCGATGGCAGGAGAGCAAGCAGAGCAACGAGTGCAAGCGGGCATGAGAGCGGGGCAGTGCTGCAGTGTGCGTGTCGCTGCGGCTGCACTCAGCTGCTCCGCGCCGACCCGTTCCTCCCCTCCACGCCCTCCCCACTCGCTCCCACACTCCTTTCGCTCTTCTCCTTGCACCCATCTCTCCCCTGCTGCGACCTGCTCTGCTCCATTCCCTGTGAGCCCACCAGCTGGGGCAGAAGCGAAGCGGGGCGGAACGGACAAGGTTCTGAATCTGGGAGGAGAGACGGAGGCGAGATGGAAGTGCAGAGAAGAGAGCGGACGGGATGGGAGGGCTCGGAATCTGAGTGGGGCGTTACTGTTCTGGGCAGTAGAAATTGGTACGACCCAATCCAGGGGGTCCAGCAGGCTGGATTTCTGCCAGGGAAAAACTTTCTTCTGCCCTGGGCGTTCCAGCTTCCAGCAATTCGTGTGGCAGAGGAGGGAAGAAGGGGCAGATGCAGCAGAGGGGCAGGGAACGAAAGCGTTTCAATGGATAGGGAAGGAGGGGCGATGAGGGAAGACGGAGGAGAGAAGGTGGAGGGGAGGGAGGATGCTCGTAAAGAGGGGGCGATGGGAGAGATTTGCGCGGTGAGGAAGGGCGGAGGTGAAGAGAGGGGGGGAAAGCAAGAGTTGAGGGGAAAGGAGGGGGACGGATCAGAGAATAACGGAGCAGAGGAAGGGGAGTGCAGGCGAGGGTCAGAGATGGGGAGGGCGGAGGAGACTCGTTATTGTATTGTTCGGTACTGTGTAGGGGATCCTGGTGTTATTGCTGCACTTGAGGAGGGGAAAAGGACCATAGCGGCAGAAAGAGAGTGGCCACAGGGGCAGGGGCTGCAGGGCGTGCAGCAGCAAGGGGGGGACGAGGAGGGGGAACGGGGAGAGGAGGGGGAGCAGGAGGAGGTAGGGAAGGGCATTGCAAAGCAGGGGCATCAGGTTGGTATTGGGCCAGGTAGAGGAGAGAGGAAGCAGAAGGGAGGGAGGGGAGTGGCAGCAGGTGGAGATGCTAGCATGTTGCAGGCGCCCGCTTCTTTTGCTCGTGTTGCGGCAATCGCAGCAGGAGCAGGGAAGGCAGCAGCAGCAGCGCCAGTGAATACTTCAGAGATGGCGTTTCCTCCCCTTGCTGCTTCCACGCACGGGGTAGCGCATGGATCAGACAAGGGTGGATACCAGAAGGGTATCTTAGGCCCGGGGGCTGGGGCACATGTAGGGGCGGGAGCAGGGGTAGGAGTGGGACTAGTGGGGTCTGCTGTACCGCATCAGCAGGCCAGCCAGAAACAGCAGCAGCAGCATTTCAAGCAGCAGCAGCCGCCTCTCCTTCCCACGCCCCTCCAAGCCAGCATGCAACAGGTGCAGAAAGTGCAGCAGGTGGGAGGAGAGGCCGAGGTGAAGCTCCTCAGGCGACGATCGCTGCTGCTAGAGCCTCCACCCAGCAGCAGTAGCAGCAGCACCAGTGGTGCAGGTGCAGTGAAAGTGTGTCGAAGCAGCACTGGCACTGGCAGCACGGGCAGCAACTCTGGTAGTGGCACCAGCAGCAGCAGTGGCGGCAGCAGCAGCAGTGTGAGGCTGTTGCAGGTGTGTCTCTTCCTAGGCCTCGAGTACGCATGCCCTGCGGGCCACCGCTTCTTCGCCGCACCTCCCCCTCCCTCCCAACCACAGGAAGAAGGGGGGGCTGGAGCTTTCAATGCGCCTCATGGGGAGAGTCAAGGGGGCGTGGGCGGAGCAGGACGCGTGCAGGGCTGGGTTGGGAAAGGGGAAGGGGGGGTGGCGGATTGGATTGGGGAGTGGGTTGCGCGAGATCAGCCGCTGGTGGTGCGGTGTGCCACGTGTGCTGAGGTGAGGGCGAGTGGGGGGCGGAGCGTGACTGTAGAGGGGGAGGAGGTGCTGTTGGCGAGAGAGGAGGTGGTGGAGGGGGAGGGAGAGGAGGAGGGGGAGGAGGAACAGGGGGAGGAGGAAGAGGAGGAAAGAGAGAAGTTTGGAGTGGGTGTGGGCGAAGGAATCGGATTTGGAGAGGCAACGGTTATGGGCACTGGTGAGGAGGGGGGAGGAGCGAAGGGAGAGGGATGTGGGAGGGAAGGAGGAAAGGCAAGTGGTGGAGTAGCGGATGAGAAAGCAGTGAGAGGCGATGGCAAGTGGGGGCACAGGAGGCGATTCTTCCCAACGACTGACGCGATTCTGCAACGGATCTATGTGGTCAGTCAGTCCACGTCAACTCTCTATTTAGTCAACTTTGTCTTTATAACAACCCATCTCTCCTTATGATTCTGTTAGTTATTTATATGTGGGAGGACCAGTGTACGCGAATGCGTGTGAATATTCAATGCAATGTCAATAAAGGGTACAACTCTCTGTCCCTCTCCTCCAGTGAGTCCATGCCACTCCCTCTTCCCTTCCTACTTGCAGGTGACTCCCAATCATGCCCTCCTCTTCGCCTCCAACCCCACCCTCATCGTCCCTCACTCCTCTGCTGCAACCGCCAGCAGCAGCCCCCCTACTTCCATTTCCGCTGCAACCACCAGCAACACCAGTCTTCGCCAGAGTGAGAAGTTCTCCCATTATCACAACACCCACGCCCGCTTGCTCTCCCCCCCATCGCCCCTCCTACTCCCCCCGAACTCGTCCCTCTGCATCCGTCTTCCCTCCCACCTCCTCCTCCCATCCCTCCTCCTCCCCTGCTTTTCTCTCGCCTCTGGCTCTTCTGACTCGGTACCAACACCACCGGCAGCAGCACCAGCAGCAGCAGCAGCAGCAAGGCTGGTGGGCGGCTCTGCTCTGTTCCTTCCCTCTCCTCCCTGTGCTGCCTTCCGTGTGGGGGGGGACACGGAGGAGGAGGGCAGGGGTAGTGCTGGCAGGGTGGGGAGTTTGGAAGGTGGAGGGGGAAGAGGGAGTGAGGGGAGAGGAAGAGGAGAGGAGGAGGTTTCAATGAGGGGAGGAGGGAAACGAATGTTGGATGCAGCAGGAGAAGCACAAGGAGTGGCCGACTCGGGAGTGGAATCTGCAGCGACTGCTTCAGCAGCAGCCGCAGCAGCGGCGGCGGCGGCAGCGGCGGCAGCAGTAGCATTTGCAGAAGCTACAGGAGCAGGAGTGGCAGGAAGGGGGGTTGGGAGCAGCGTGAATGTGGGGAGAGGCGCAGGGGGGCGAGGAGGCTGGCGCGGAGGGGGGAGAGGCGGAGGAGGAGGAGGGGGGGGGGGAGCAAGGAGGGGGGTCGAGGGGGAGGCAGGGTGGGTCCACAAGGGTCACGTGCCTCTGGGTCGTACGGATGACGGTGGGCGGTGCTAGAGCCTGCTTGTGAGTCGCGTCAAAAGAAGGCAGCAGCGCAATTCCACATGGGTCGTGAGCATCTGGGTCGTCGTATGGATGGATGATGGTGGGGGGTTGCGAGACTCACGCCACCCCTCCACCGCCCCTCCTTGTGCCCCTGGCTTTCGACTCGGCCTTGTAGAGGCACTCACGAGTCGTGCACAAGATCGAAACGCATTCGGCGGGGGGGGGGGGGGGGGGGGAGGGGGGGGGGGCATTTCATACCTCTCTTTCTCCCGGTCGTGTGTCGCAGCTTAGCATGTCGGATTCTCCCACCACGGTGACAGAGAAGGTCCGGAGTCAGCGTATCTGTCATGGTGAGCGCCATGCCGCGCCTGAAAGGAAAGGAGCAGGCGGGTTCCAGAGGTGTTACTGTTACGCCCATGGCTGCTGTTTGTTGCAGGCGGCTCGCCTGGTCGAGCGTGGCATGGATGCAGTGGCCATTTCGTGGAGCGCATCGAAAGGTGGCCGTGTCTGACCGCTGGGCTAGGTCACTGAGGTGCCTTGGGGTGCCTCAAAGTGCCTCAGGTGCCTCAGGAGGCTCAGAGTGCCTCAGGTGCCTCTGGTGCCTCAGGAGGCTCAGAGTGCCTCAGGTGCCTCTGGTGCCTCAGAGTGCCTCAGAGCGCCTCAGGTGCCTCAGGTGCCTCAGGGGCAGGAGGGGTGTGATAGGAGCGAGGGGTGCAAGATGAAGGAGGGGCGTGAGAGGCAGGAGGGGCGTATGAGGAGCGAGGAGTGAGGGGGGAAGAGAGGCGTCAGAGGGGGGACGGGGGTGTGAGATGGGCAGGGGATGTAAATGGAGCGAGGGCTGTAACAGGAGTGAGGGGTGTAAGATGGAGGGTGTATGAGGGGGGGGGGGGGTGCGAGGAGGGACGGGTAGGAGGGCATGGGAGCAGGGAAGAGTGGGAATGTGGAATATCTCAAAGCAGCGAGGTCTGTGATGCCAAGTCAGCAGATGAGTGATGGTCAGAGCACTCACCAGCCTAGCCAAAGGAACCTTGTTGCCTAGGAGTTCTGATGATTCTGCCACTGCTGCTGTTGCTGATGGTACAGCTGCTGCTGTTCGTGCTGCTGCTGGTGCTGGTGCTGCTGCTGCTAATATTGCTGCCGCTGCCGCTGCTGGTGGTGTTCGTGGTGCTGCTGCTGATGCGGCTGCTGGTACTGCTGCTGCTGGTACTGCTGCTGCTGGTCCTGCTGATGTTAGTGGTGGTGATACCGGTGGTGCTTCTGCTAACTCACATGCGTGCCAAGTCAAGGGGGAGTTGTACTAGAGCAGCCAGGGGGGGCATGAGGAGGGTGAGCAAATGCTGGTGACTGCTGCTGCTGCTGCTGCTGCTGTAGGCAATGTGATGGGGGTTGCAGGAGGAGGATGGCAGGGGTTGGTGGGGGAGAGTGAGAAGGGTGTGAGGGATCTGCGGTTTCCCCACACTGCCACATGGCATGTCACTGATGCTGCTATTGCCACGAGGCGTGCTCCTGCTGCTGCATCTCGTGTCTAACACCCCATGCGTTGCAGGCATCATGGAATGGCTTGCTGTGGCATCGCAGTCATTGCAGTCATGGCATGGCACGGCACGGCACGGCACGTCATGGCATGGCACGGCACGGCATGGCATGGCATGGCATGGCATGGCACGGCACGTCATGGCATGGCACGGCATGGCACGGCATGGCACGGCATGGCACGGCATGGCATGGCATGGCATGGCATAGCATGGTATGGCATGACATGGCATGGCATGGCATGGCACGGCACGTCATGGCATGGCATGACACAGCTTTCCATGTCATACTAGTGCAACTATGCCATTCAAATGCTTCAATGCTTCACTTTTGTCGTGGTATGGCCCAGCTTTCGTCCCAACTTTAGGCTCGGTCTAGTCAGGATCGGTCCGGTCAGGGTTGGTCCAGTCAGGCTTGGTCCAGATTGATCTAGTCAGGCTAGGCCTAGTGTGAGGGAACGAGAACGAGTCAGCTTCCAACGATGTTGGTTGGGTGCCGCAGAGACAAGCAGAGGGGAATTGTGTGGACACAGTGGAAGGAAACGACTTGGAAGTTGTGATACACCACCTCCTTACGAAGAGGTTTCTCTCCGAAGAGTGGTGTATGGTGACAGTCATCATCTTTTGGGCTGAGATAAGCCCGTAGGATCTTTCCAAAGACCAAGTCCCCAGAGAGATGCACTTGCGGAAGCGTAGTGTAAGACTTAATGAACCTCTTGCAATGGTATGCGAGCAGGCCCCCAAATTGGTTTTGGGGGTGTCTGATTCATCAGACTTGCTTGTCATCCCTGTCAAACATGTTTAGTTATCATGCTTGTATAGACTGTATAGGGTCATCTTCTAGAGAGTACAACAGTTAGGTATATGTTTGTGTACTCTCTCTCTCTATTCATCAATTTCACTGTTTGTTAAGGTATCACGCGTAGGTAGGATCCCCCCCCCCCCCCCCCCCCTCACGCTTCCGCTCGCCCCCTAGCTGGGCCCCGTCGCCCCTGCTCGGCCCCGTCGCGGCCTGTCGGCCGCGTGGCGCCCGCCCGGCCCCTGTCGCGGCTGCCCGGCCCCTGTCGCACCTGCCCGGCCCCTGCTCGCCCGCCCGGCCCCGTCGCCCCTGCCCGGCCCTGCTGTGGCCTGCCCGGGCCCCGTCCCTGCCGCCCGGCCCCGTCGCCGCCGCCCGGCCCCGTCGCAGCCGCCCGGCCCTGTCGCAGCCGCCCGGCCGCGTCGCAGCCGCCCGGCCACGTCGCAGCCGCCCGGCCACGTCGCAGCCGCCCGGCCACGTCGCAGCCGCCCGGCCCCGTCGCCCCTGCCCGGCCCTGCTGTGTCCGGCCCGGCCTCGTCCCTGCCGCCCGGCCCCGTCGCAGCCGCCCGGCCACGTCGCAGCCGCCCGGCCTTGTCGCTGCCGCCCGGCCCCGTCGCCGCCGCCCGGCCCCGTCGCAGCCGCCCGGCCCCGTCGCCGCCGCCCGGCCTTGTCGTGCCTGCCCGGCCCCGACGCACCTGCCCCGGCCCTCCATACTTCCTGGTACTGTCCCCCGTTCCCCGCACCACTTTGCACCCTCCTGCACTTTCCTGCCCCGCCTTGCATCGCATTGCACCTCACTGGATCGCACTGACCGCACTGCACCGCACTGGACCGCACTGCACCGCACTGCATCGCACTGCACCGCACTGGACCGCACTGCACCGCACTGCATCGCACTGCACCGCACTGCACTGTCCTCCACTGCCCCTCATGGCTGCTGAGCTTCGTTTTGATGTTGAGGGTCAGCCTCTGGAGTTCGAGGCGTGGTTGGCTGACCTTCGCCGCCACCTCACTGGCCAGCGGCAGGACGGCCACCCGCTTTCTGCACACCTAGACGGTATGCTCCCCTGCCCTGACCCCCCTGCTGTGCTGCCCGCTGATCCCACGCCCGCTGAGCGCGAGTCCACTGCCGCTGCTGCCCTTGCCCGCTCTGTCTGGCTTTCCCGCGATGCCCTTGCTCAGCTCGCCATTAGCAATGCCCTCCCCCCCACTGAGCGCCCTCGCTTTAGAACCATTCCTACCGCCCAGGCCTACCTCGATGCTGTCATCAAGCGCTATTCTACCCCTCCTGCTGCCTCAGTGGGTCGCCTGATCCTTCCCCTGCTCTTTCCTGACCTGGCGTCTTTCCCCACTGTCTCTGACCTCGCTGCCCACCTGCGCTCGATAGATGAGGCCTGGCGCGCTGCCTGCACTGATGCTCAGCTTAGAGTCCACCAGCCTCCCATGACCTCTACCCTCTACCTCCTTGCCACCCGCCTACCTGACCGCCTTGCCGCCGCCCGCGACCAGTTCCTTAGCATCCACCCTGCTGCTCTCACCCTCACCGACTTTGTTGACACCCTGACTGCCATAGAGACTCGTCACCGCTCCATAGCCCTGGCGAGCGGTACAGTACCGGTCCCTATCTTTCAGGGTTGTGCCCCCGCTCAGTGTACCTTCTCCGACGGCTCTGTCGCTGTGGCTGAGACTGCTGCTGCAGTGCAGTCCCGCTCGGCGAAGGGCCGCCGCCCCAAGGTTGGGAGCGGCGGAGGCGGCGGGGGTGCGGGTGGGGGTAGTGGTGGAGGCGGGTCGTCCGGTGCCAGTGCGGACGTGGGGACCCTGCCCGGTCCAGCTGCCCCGCTGCCTCCACAGTTGCAGCAGCCGCAGCAGCAGCAGTCGCCGCAGCCGCAGCCTTCGCAGCAGCCGCCGCAGACGAGGCAGGCGAGTACTCTCCCACCTGGGTGGCCTGGAGCTGGTGGTGGTCGTGCGCGTGGTGGTGCACCGGGTGGTGGTTCTGGAGGCGGGCCCTGTCAGTACCAGATCCAGACCGGTCCTCGCCGCGGCTTCGTTTGCGGTAAGATCGGTCATTCTACTCCTCGCTGTTTTCGTCGCCTGGACGACCTGTTCCGCCAGCGCTTTGGCCCGGCGCCCGACCTCCCGGACTGGCACAGCTTGCTTAGGCGTAGCGTTAGGATTTTTGACTTGGACATGGATGCCATTGTAGCGGCCTTGCATGTGATGTATCCTTATGACTCTAGTGTGCTTCCCTCTTATTACCCCGTGTTGCCTAGTGTAGCGGTGCCTAGCGTAGACTCCCCTGCTGCGTCAGGCGTAGGATCTCCTGCTTTGCTTAGCCTTGGTGCTTCCACCGCTTCACTGCTGCCTCGCGCGACTGCTGCGCTTTCCTTCACCTTGGACTCTGGCGCCTCCCGGTGTTTCTTCCGCGACTCCACGACGCTGACGCCGCTGCCTGTTCCCGCTGCAGTTACTCTTGCTGACCCCTCCGGTGGTCCCGTCGTTGCCCGCAGTTCCACCTCCCTTCCCTGTCCGGCGGTTCCTTCGGGCACTCTCACAGGTCTGCATATCCCCTCGTTCTCCAGGAACCTAGTTGGTGTCGGCTGCCTCCAGGACCTTGGCGTCACCACTACGTTCCCTGGTCACGAGCGGTATGCTGTCTGTACCGAGGCCGCCACTGGTGCCCCCCTTACCACTTTCCCCCGGGACCCGGTGTCCGGCCTGTTCACACTTGACACCGCGCCGTCCCCGGCTGGGTCTTCCCCCCCGGTAGTTGCGTCCACCCAGGTTGCAGCCGCGTGCTCCTGTCGGTCCCTCACTCACCCGACTCTCCTTTGGCACCACCGCCTTGGTCACCCTGCACTCCCACGTCTGCGTCACATGTCCCAGCACGGTCTCGTCCTTGGTCTCCCCGGTTCGTTCCCCGAGTTTCCCTCCTCCCCCGCCCCACCGTGCACGCCTTGTGTCGAGGGCCGGCTCCGCCGTGCCCCTCACTCCTCCTCTTTTCCCCCTACCACCGCACCACTGCAGACTCTGCACATGGACGTCTGGGGCCCAGCCCCGGTCCATGGGCCGCGTCGCGAGCGCTTCTTCCTAGTGCTTGTCGACGACTTCACGCGCTACACCACCGTCTTCCCCCTGGAGCGGAAGGCCGACGTGCCTGACGTTCTCATCCCCTGGCTTGTCTCTGCTCGTGTCCACCGCGGTCTCCCTGCCTTGCGCCTTCACTCCGACCGGGGTGGCGAGTTTGCCTCAGGTGTCCTTGGTCGCTTCTGTCGTGCGGAGGGCATCACCCAGACGTTTACCCTGCCGGACTCCCCGCAGCAGAATGGGGTCGCTGAGCGACGCATCGGTTTGGTCATGGAGGTGGCTCGCACCTCCATGATCCACGCCGGTGCACCCCATTTTCTGTGGCCGTTCGCCGTGCGCTACGCCGCTCACCAGCTTAACCTGTGGCCGCACCCCCAGCGGCCGCAGGTTTCGCCGACCCTTCTGTGGACCGGGTCCCCTGGTGACGCGTCTGCGTTCCGCGTCTGGGGCTGCCTTGCTCACGTTCGTGCCTCTGGCACGGACAAGCTCACTGCCCGCACCCTCCCCTGCGTCTTCCTCGGTTTCCCCCTTGACGCGTCCGACTGGCACTTCTACCACCCGCCGTCTCACCGCTTCTTTCACTCTCGCGACGTCACCTTTGACGAGTCCGTCTCCTTCTACCGCCGCTTTCCCCACCGTGGTCCCCCGGTTACTCCCCCCCTTTTCCTGGTTCCTCCCTCCCTGGTGGTCCCTGCCCCTCCCCCCCCCCGCCCCCCCGTCCGGCCCCCTCTGGTGTGTCTCACGTCACCCCCCTCCCGTCGGTCGTCCCGGTCGACGAGTCTTCTGACTCTGGTAGTCCTCCGGCGCAGTCCTCGCCGTCTGTCCCTCCCCCGGTGTCTCCTCCTCCACCGCCTCCGCAGCCGCCGTCGCCGCAGCTGCTGCAGCCGTCGTCTCCACCGCCGCCGCCGTTGCAGCCGTCGTCTCCGCCGCCGCCGCCGTCGCAGCCGTCGCTGCAGCCGCCGCCGCCGCCGCCGCTGTCGTCGCTGCCGCCGTTTGTGGACTCTGGGGGTGTCCCTTCTGGGGGTGCAGGTGTGGAGGGTTCGGGAGGTAGCCGTCGCGCAGCTTGTGGCCCTGGTGTTGGTGTTGTGTCGCCGCAGCAGCAGTCCCCGCCTGTGTCCGCCCTCCGTCTGCTCGGCCTTCCGTCTCCTGACCCTGCGCCTGTTCCTCTCCTGCCGTCTCCCCCTCTTCCCGTCTACGGCCCCGTGTTCCCTCTGCCAGACTCGTCCCCGGCTCGTCTTCCCCCTCGTTCCCCTCCTGTGTCCCCTCCTCTGTCTCCTGACCCGACGCCGCCCTCACACGTCTGGTCTCGCCGCCCCTCTCGTGCTCGTCCTGTCTCCCCTGTCCTGCGCTCTCACCCTATGTTGCTCCGTTCCCACGCGTCTCGACCTCCCCTCCTCCCGTCTCCTCCTCCGTCTTCTCTTGTCGTTGCGTCTCCTCCTCTGTCCGACTCCTTTCGTGCCGCTCGTCCTCTTGTTCCTCGGGTCCTTGCCTCTCTCGTTACAGACCCGTCTGTTCCAGTGTCGAGTCTTGACGCCCTTGTCGCTGCGGTCGCTGACTTCGCCTCTACACGCCGCCTTGACTACGCCACCGCTCTGGTCTCTCACCCTGCCTGTCCTCCGTCTGTCGGGGGTGCTCCTGCCCTCGGCAGTGACGTCCTGGAGGACCGCCAGTTTGAGCTTGCTTTCCTGTCCGAGGCTGCTCCCCATCTCTGTTCCATGCTGCTAGTCCCTGAGGGTGACCCAGACGCTTTCGACATCCCGACCCCTCGTACTTACGCTGAGGCGGTTTCGGGACCCTGGGCCTCTCAGTGGATAGCTGCCATGGAGCAGGAGATGGCATTTTGGAGATCCACCGGCACCTTCGTCGACGCAGTTCCCCCACCTGGGGTGAACGTGGTCGATGGCCGTTGGCTCTTCAAGGTGAAGCGCCCTCCTGGAGAGCCGCCTGTGTTCAAG